AATTGTTTAGAATGAATTAAATGCATGATGTCGAACCAGTCCGGAAGGTCATTGGACTCGCATAAATTGATAAAGTGATCGACCTAAATTTCGCTCCCGCGTTTCTTTTCTCTCCGCAACTTAAATAAATCGCGTCTTTCCTCTTCTTCACTTACGCCTTTGGCACCACGGTATTTTGTCGAGATGATTTTCATCTCTCACTGTGGCCTATATAACTGTATCCCCCATTCTTAATCATTATTCATTGCCTTCATGGCCGAAAAACGCAGACTTTCCGCTCGCGAACGCCGCGAACCGGCGTCGAAGAGACGAGCCTCCGAAGCACCCTCTCAATCACAATCTACACCATCATCGTCAAAGAAACGGGCCTCGACTGCTGCCGCGCCCCCGACTCCAACCCCACCTCCTCCCCCTGTCGAGGTTGTCGAGAATCCCCTGCCAACAAAAATCAAAGATGGGGAGGGTCTCCCAACTGTACCATCACCCCAGCTGGAGACGCTGTCCGCGAAGGAGTACCAGTCATATGCGGAAAGGTATGGTTTGGGGAGCTAGGTGTATGTGATAAAAAGGTGATGGTGCCTGACCTGGTTATAGTGCGGTTCTCCTAGCTTCGTTGGAGCGATCAAAAAAGAAATGGCTCAGCGACGGCATCCTCGTGCGATACTGGACGAAACCAAAGAAGACCAAACGAGAGCAAATCGAGGGCAAAAACCCTCCCAAGGAATCCATGTCGAAGGTCGGCCCTTGTAACATTGCTGTCGGCCCTCATCTTTTCGATGCTATGCTGTACACTGTCAAAGACCCCAATGCGCCACCGCCAATTCAATACACGCCCCCTCAGCGGCCGATGGTTCACTACGGCCACCCTAATAATTTCCAGCAATACCAGCCCTATCCTACTCCTCAACATGCACGACAACACCCCCCTCAAAATCCGCCCGCCCACTCAGCGTCCCCTCAGCCCACCTATCAGCAGGGCAATCATCCACCACCTCCACACCATGCCAGAACACCCAACCAACCTCCCCCTCAACGTCCATCTCAATCGGCCCAGCGACCGTCACCATCGCAGCATCCACAGGCCCAGCCTCCAAAGCCTAGTCCGGACCCAGTGATTCAGATGCTTGCTACACGAGCTGCCTCGGACCCGGATCTGAAGGCGTTGATGAGAGTGGTCGCCTCGAGCAAAGCGTCTCAAGAACAGCTTCGTGCTTTCCAGGCTCACATCGATGAGCTAAATGCAATTATTCGCGCAAGAGAGCAACAACAACAAAGACAGCAACAGCAACAGCAGTCTCATCCCCCAACACCTAATCAGCCACAGGCATCACCCCGGACACCGCAACAGACACAACCACCACCGCCATCCCAAAAGCCTTCACAGCCTTCACAGCCTCCACAGCCTCCACAGCCTCTGCAGCAGCCAAGCCAGCAACAGAATCAACAACAAAAGAAGCCTAGCACGCCATCGCAACAACCAGCACAACAACGGTCACAGGAACAGCCTTACCCACGAGTTGAGGTCCATGTACCTAAACAACCGCCGTCAGTAGTTTCTGCGCCTCAGACCCCTAACGCAAGTGCACCGAACCAGTCCCAAACTCCTTCACAGAAGCCCAGTATAACGCCACAAGTCAAACAAGAGCCTGGAGTTGCAGCGGCTCAGCCCTCGCCTACTGCAGAACCGTCCGCAAACACTAAGCAACAGAGTCCTGCGGTGCGGCCCATGGCACCTCCGCAGAACCAATCCGCTGGATCGCGACCAGGGCCTCCATACCCACCTTATCAGCAGCCACCGTATCAGGGCCACCCGCCTGCGATTCAGTCACGGCCTCCGCAGTACGGATCTCCAGCTCCCTACTATCGACCAGCTCCCCCGCCACCACCCCCGAGACTGAATTACAAATCGGTTGTTTTCGAATTCACATCACCCTTAACACCGTATGGAAGTAGCACTTCGGGTCATGCTGGCTCTGGAGATCGTTACCTGTTTCCAGAGTATACTATATTGGAGTGGCTTCCAGACGGGAACACTGTTCTTGCATCTTTCTTACTTGTTAGAAAGGTGGATCCGAATACCCCCTTCCCTATAGAGACAGCATCAGAGGTGGCAAACTCGCGAACTAAAGGCAAGTCGGCGTCAAGATCGAAGAAGGGAGACAAAGGTAAAGACAAAGATAAAGAGAAGGATAAAGGCAAAGGCAAAGAAGGCGAAAAGTTAGAGGACAAGGAGAAGGAGAAAGGGGAGAGTAATGCGCAGCCTATTACCAGTCAGACTGCCGCTACTGATAGTAAACCGACCCCAACCGAAGAGGAAAAGCCAGCTGGCGGTCAAGTTGACCCAAAAGCGCCGCAAGCCACCACACCAAGTCATGGTGAGTCTAACAAGCCTCAACCTAAAGACAAACCCGAAGATGCGGCCAAGGCTTCCAACTTGAAAGAGTACTACCAACCTGTTACGTTCCGCATTCACAGCCCCAACGCTAAAGTCCTCGAGCCTTTATCCCGAGTGGTGAAGCCTCCTGATGAAGTGCGCAAGTACATGAATGAAATCATGGACCGGGCAGAGCGCGCTCCCGATGGGTTCCTTGCATTCCGTCTACCACGCGAAGAAGCAGGCGATGAGCATGATGTAGAGGATAAGAAGAAAAGCGGAACGCCAGTCCCTGCAAACCGCAGCCGGCTCTCTAAGGGTAGAGCGGTTGATGATGAATCAGATACTGAAAACAGAGAGGAGCCCGTTGAGGAAGACGAGGAAGAGGAACTGAAGGATTTTTATGGTCCACCTACTGGACTTGTACCGATGGGTCTATAAACCATTGAGGTTCGCATAGCAGGCTGTTTTAATTCTGCTATCAGCCGCGATTTGGTATTCGATAATTGTACTTTTAGCTGTTGTATTATGTCCTGATGTATGATGAACAAACAGACTTATTCATACCAAACCGATCAGACCGCGTTTTCAGAAGGCGGTCAAGGAAGCGGTGTGCGATAAGAGCTTATCTCTATCTTAATTCTTCTACTATCAACAACATCAATGAAGGAGTAGTACAACGATGGTTGAGCTTCAGTCCATCTTCAAAAAGGCCTACTGGTCGCTGGCCGCCAGCGGTCTTGTCTACGTGAGCATAATATTTACCTTGACGTTTCCAACCGTTCAAAGATTGTAAGCTCTTTCAAGCTTTCCCTTCAAGTTTGCAGTGCCTCTGTCGCTTACAGTCTTGGTATAGTGCCCTCTATGCTCACAAGGTCAATCCAGCTCTGTGGGAAGATGTCAACCAGGTTGAATCTTTCGGTTTTCTGAGTATGTTACGTCCTCATATTTTTAGATGACAAACCGTGCAAGAAGTCCATTAACGTCAGTAGAGACACAGGTCCAGCCATTCAATCTGGTGACGCCTGATAATGAGAACCTCTACGCGTGGCATCTGCTCCCTCCCCACCTCTGTCGGGAGCACGAAGAGAAATTGAATGCAAATGAGCCCTCCGGTCCAGCGGGTGACTATACAAAAACCCCCGCCTACGAACTCCTGGCAAATGACCCTAATGCCAGGGTCGTAGTCGCTTGTACGTCTACCCTATTAAAAGCCCAGAATTTATAAGCTAAACCATTCCGTCCAGTCCATGGCAATGCCGCTCACATCGGCTCGCTCAACGCCCGGAAACCTATCGCATGCTTCTGGGCCTGTCGACACCCTCCAACCCAATCCATGTCTTCGCCATGGACTACCGCGGTTTCGGTATATCCACCGGTTCCCCCACAGAAGAAGGCCTAATCACCGATGGAGTCGCCCTGCTCAACTTCCTCACCTCCAGCCCATTGAACATTCCCCCATCTCGAATCGTCATCACAGGTCAGAGCCTCGGAACAGCCGTCAGTGCAGCAGTAGCTGAGCGTTTTGCATTCGGATCTCCCGACCCAACTGCCATCCAGCCTGCCATCAAAGACCCTGAACCCTTCGCTGGTGTGATTCTCGTCGCATCATTTAGTAATGTACCAAGTCTCCTTGATACTTACAGTCTCAAGGGTCTCACGCCTCCGATCCTCTCCCCTCTTGTTGGCTATCCTCGTGTGAAGAACTGGACCAAGAGCCACGTCATTGATCGTTGGGATACCGCCGCGCGAGTGGCGCGGTTAACCGGAGTTGGGCCGACAGCTCAGAACGACTCAGCTGCTGGTTATGCGGATAAGGAGCTGGATCTTACCATTGTGCATGCGTATAACGATGCAGAGATCCCATGGTACGAGGGACGTCGCGTTTGGGTGGCTGCGACAGGGGAGAACGATAAGGATGCTCCTGGGCGCATTGTGCACGAGAGGAAGGACCCAAAAAGTCAGAATGAAGTGCTTATCTGGGAGAACAGATCTAGCAAGAACGCCGGTGTGGTTAAAAGTGTTAGATGGGAGCGTGTGCCGTACGGTGGTATGTCCATTTCGTGCTACCCTTTCAGAACGAGAGTAGAGGCTAACTTAACACAGGTCATAATCGCGTTGCGACATTCTCCGTTGCTGCTCTTGCTGTGCTTAGGGCTTTCGAGCAGTGAGGGTGCGCTATAGAACGCCAGTCTCCAGCCTGGTAACCTCCACACAATGAAACATGTCTTCTATGGGATCCATGGCCTATATATAATGCTGTAAAGATATAGATAAGAATACATGATTCATGCCTTGTATTCAGAAAGTATGTGAGAGGAGATGGAAAGACCCAAAAAGATATATGTACAGCCAGTAAAACCACCCAAAGTACAATAGATAACGAACATTGTTTTAATCCCGCTCCAAATTGATTTTTAAAATAATATCTTCGTAAGCCCACAGGGTCTAAAATGTATATAATACATGACACAATTAATGAAAAAGATGGTAAAAGAAAACCTCGCCTCCATCCGAGCACTCCTTGAAGAACGTAAGCTGGCCGAGGAATATAGGATAAGGAGACGCTCAAAAACAACTCCGGTAGTAAAACATGTCAGAAACTCTAGGTCTAGCCGTAAGAGGTTTATTTCTTGTGGCGGTCGGCCTGCGCCTTGAGGTACTTCGCGATCAGTTCCTTCTGGACCTGAGGAGGGCACTTCTCGTAGTGGCTGAATTCCATGGTGTATTCACCCTTACCCTGAGTGGCCGCACGCAGGTTGCTGCTGAAGCCGAACATGCCGTTCAGACTGCAGTCAGCGTACACAGTGAACTCATCAACGCCGACTTCGGAATCGTTGATAGTGGCATTGCGCTTGTTCAAAAGGGAGATGACATCACCCTGGAACTCAGCGGGCGCAGTCACAACAGTCTTCATCATTGGCTCAAGAACAGATGGGTTGCTCTCCATGAATGCCTTACGGAAGGCCTGTTGGGTGGCATTCTTGAAAGACATTTCAGAGGAATCGGTCATGTGGGTGGCACCATCATTGATGACCATCTTGCTACCAAGCACCTTGTGGCCGATAAGAGGTCCCCTCTCGCAAGCAAGATGGAAACCCTTCTCACAAGCGAACAAGAACTTCTCAGAGATACTTCCACCAACAATTTGCTCCTCAAAGACGTTGTCATCAAGCTTGCCGGTTGGTTCCATCCAACCCACCACACGGGCGTAGTCTCCAGGACCTCCCGATTGCTTCTTGAGCAGATGGTCGAACTCAACCCGGTTGCCGAGGGTCTCGCGGTATGCGACCTGCGGTGGGCCAGTCTCACAGTCAACACTGTATTCACGACGCATGCGCTCCACGTAAATATCAAGATGCAGTTCACCCATTCCGGAGATAAGAGTCTGTTCACTCTCGACATCGTAGGTCACCCGGAAGGTGGGATCTTCTCTCTGGAAACGAGCCATAGCTTTCGAGAACTTAGCAGCATCCTTGTTGTTCTTGGGCTTGATCGAAAGAGAGATGACAGGCTCAGGAACGAACATAGAAGACATGGTATAGCCAAGTTGTCCATCAGTGAAAGTATCACCAGAAGCACAGTCAACACCAAAGACGGCGCAGATTTCACCAGCACCGACCTCATTGACTTCCTCCATCTCATTGGAATGCATGCGGACAATGCGAGGAATCTTGATCTTCTTATCGTTACGGGCATTGAAGACATTGGCACCCTTACGGAGGGTTCCTTGGTATACACGAATATATGTCAACTGGCCGAAGTTGCTTTCTTCCAGCTTGAAAGCAAGACCAACCATTGGAAGGGACTGGTAGGGGACAAGTTTCACCGAGGCCTCATCACGCTTCTTGTCAAGGGCAAGGTTTTGCACCTCCGCAGGGTTGGGGAGGTAGTCAACAACACCGTCCAGCATAGGCTGCACGGACTTGTTCGCCAAAGCAGAGCCCATGAAGACTGGAGTGAACTTCAGGCCAATGGTAGCGCGGCGGATTGCAGCCTTCAACTGCTGTTCGGTAGGCTCTTCTTCAAGAATAAAGAGCTCAGCAATCTCATCATCCACGTCAGCGAGAGTTTCGATGAGCTTCCTCCGCCTTTCCTCTGCAATGTTCTTGACTTTCTCAGGGATTTCCTCCGTCTCAAAAAGCTCCTCACCGCTAGGTCCCCTGTTGTAAATCGCCTTCATGCGGATCAAATCGACCACACCCTCAAACTCGTCCTCAGCACCGATAGGCACCTGGACCGCGGCGGCGGGGATCTTGAGCTTGTTGTTGATCTGGTCGACAGCCTTAAACGGATTGGCTCCCATACGGTCCATCTTGTTGACGAAGGAGATTCTGGGCACGTTGTAACGTCTCATCTGTCGATCGACGGTAATGGTCTGGGATTGGACGCCTGAAACAGCACACAGGATCATGACCGCTCCATCGAGGACACGCAGGGCTCTTTCGACTTCGATAGTGAAATCGATATGTCCAGGTGTATCGATCAAGTTAAAATGGTACTTGTTTTCCTTGCCATCCTCATCCTTCTTCACCCAGTCACAGAATGTAGCAGCGGATTGGATGGTGATACCCTTTTCACGCTCCAAGTCCATGGAGTCCATCTTAGCGCCAACCTTGTCACCTCCACGAACCTCGTGAATTGCCTTGATACGGCCGGTGTAGAAAAGGACACGTTCGGTACATGTAGTCTTGCCGCTGTCGATGTGCGCCTATAACGGAAGAACGTTAGAATGCGTTGGATCTGACGGAGGCTCTCGAATTATCTTACAGCGATACCGATATTCCGGACTCTGGACAGCCGTTCTGCCTCAACAGGGTCAAGGTTCTCAATGATCGCCTCCTGAGACAAGTTGTCGGAGGCAGCGGCTTCAAGACTATACAATAAGAATTGAATAGTTAGCAATTGGGTCAAAACTAAGTAACGATAGAAACTTATGCCAATGAAAGCACTTACACAGCAGCGGCAGTACCTGAGGCATATCTCCTTTGCTGGAGGTGTCTGTTCAGGATAGACTGATAAGCCGGGGCAGCAGTGGGTGAACGGAGAACGGCCGTCGACGCGCATCTTCTGGTAAGGAAGTTCTGAGACTGGAGACGGACGGCAGATCTGGGCAAGCCAGAAACGGCACGGTATGGCAACCGCGCAAGAGAAGGACACCTCATGACTATTGTCCACCCACACGGAAATGCTGATGCTTGGGGATCCCAAGAGTCGCGATCTTTTCGCCGGCTCCGAAAAAAAAGTTCGGGGAAGCCAGGAACGCCTCACGTGATGATCAGTTGATTGGCCACTCAACGGCCATCAAAACATAATGCTCATCCAGGCAGGTACGGTATGTATCCATTCATTGCATTTCATGACAATACTGCTCCTTCCTGACCGCCTTGGATTTTGCCACCGATCTTCATCTAGTATCAATTTATCATCGTGAACCTATGTACCTATCACTTGTGGGATGTGTTGATCAATAGGATCATTTATCATTACTTGCTTTTCACTGGCCCTTCTTATATGCTCTAGGCAGTCACTAAAATGCGGCCATCTTTGAATTTGCTCGCTGCCGTATCCCGCGGCCAGCCGTCGAAGCTTAGGAAGCCGGCAATGAGTTTGGACCATGTCAGTAGCTCATGACTATATGATTTCAATTTCCTTTGTACATTGTTGACACCTTAAGTAGTTCATCCAAAGACAGCGAGTCCTCGGGTTCTGGAGGGAGGTTACTCGAGCATTACATAGTAAGATTGTCCGGTTTATCACTGAACTAGCATCAGTTGCTGACTGGCTTGTCCAAGAAATCCCCAAATCGTCGACACGGGACGAATTGCGCAGCTACGCTCGCCAAGAGTTTGAGCGTCATCGTAATGTAACGGATTTGGTATGCACAATATGCTGTTTGGTATTTTGGTCTGTGACTAACTAATCTTTGCTAGCAACATATACGGTATTTGCTTTCGGTATGGCTTTGCGCATTTATAGATCCGACATGCTTCTAACCGCGCACAGACAGGGAAATCGGAATTTGAGATGATGAGACGGTATATCGATGAGCAAGCCTCTCACTAATTCGCCTGTGACTATTTCCGGATTCCGGTTTTGAATATTAGCTTGAGGCTCATGCGTTTTTAAATGAATGCATCGGCACATGCACAACATGCAGGGCGATGGGCCTAGATGCAATGTATAGTTTGCCTATATGGAGCCTCGGAGATGAAGTGTTGGAGATGAGAATATCCTATGCATAACAAGTTCTGAATGTATATATGTACAATATGATACCCAAATTCAATTCAAAGTCGTCCACCTAAGAGATCGTACAATGTTACCCTTGCCCTAGTTCCTCCTCGACAACAACTCCTTCACTGCATCTAACACACCAATGGACTTCTCCTCAGAGCGCTCGATAGCGGAGCGAGCAGCATCATGCTCAGCAACAGGCTTAGAAGCAGCCTTTTTTCCTGCCTCCGCGGCCGCGGTTTCCATAGCCGCATGACGTTGCCGCCAGTCCTTATCCTCTTTGTCACGGATCTCCAGCTCACGCAGCCAGGCATCCCGCTTCTCCTGGCTCTTGCGCTCTTCCACCATCTGCTCGAATTCTTTGCGCTGCTGTCGCTCCGTTTTGAAGTACATGCCTCCGACAACGACGGCAATAAGGGTGAAGAACTGGGCATAGATACGGGCACGGAACATCCGGTTCATCTCGACCGAGTCACCGGCCTTCATCGATCGGTAGGCGCGGTAGAGAGCATAACTGGTAGCTGCGCATCCTGCAATTCAAGGTCGGATTAGCGTGGTCCTTTTAGGTAAAATTGGAGCATGGAAGAATCGTTCCTTACCAAGCGGAATCAGGGGTTCCTCCTTGAGACGTCTACGGAACTTCTGCAAGGAAGTTTCCTCCTCGAACTGACTAGATACCCATCCAAGTTAATGCTCGTTCCCTGCGCTCCTTGCGCGAATTATAGAGGGTGGTCCGGGTACGTACGGGCTGCCCTCAAATGAAGATGGAACAGGGTCGCTACTCATTTTTGTCTTTTTAAATGTAAGGGTATCGCGTGGGAGAAAGACAAATTTGAGAAGGGATTAGAGGATGTGAATATTGCGAAGCGGAGAACCGGAAAGGTGGTGATGCTTTGGAAGTCTGATACTCCGAATGAGTTTCAAAGTGGCACTCTTGAGATGGTCAACCGAGTTAAAGCCAGGGTTCAGTTACCCAGTACACACCTTATCTGGACGTTCTTTGGATTGCCCACTTGAGTGGCAGGTGAAGAAGATATCAAAGTGGTTGTTTTATCTGAAAAGGAAACATGACGTCGCAAACCTTGCGACTTGAGTAATTTTCATACCGTACCATACATCATCATACGATACATCTACTCTAGATCGCATATCGGAGATGGACCCATTTGAATAGACGACTACGGATGAAGAAATGAAGCTACTTGATGACTTCAATCGGCTTTCGGATCCCAGAAGATACCTGTTTCTTGCATTGTATATTCTGGTTCTTACTCCATGCCATACGTAGGGTCCCTTGAAGAATGGGCTACCACAATACTGCGGAGATTGAACTGCGAGAGGTGAACGATAAGGAAATAGGCCTAGTTAGATGTACCTATTGAGCAAGATAGCAATATGACCCCTATACATATATCACCAGAGCTATAACAGACATCAATTCGTTCACCGGTGGGCCAGAGACCGTATGATCCCCAGTCCCTCTGGCTGTTATATAGATATTCCTGGGACGTTGGCTAGTTGGGCGAAAGGAACCACTGCAACTTCTGTTTCGATCGCTTCGTATGCTAGCGACATGTCAGCGCGGTGTATTTTCCTTCGTCATCACCAGAGAGTGTTCTCTACATGTCTATCAAAGTATGGATGGAGATATACTCCTACTCCGCGGCGGGGCCGGAAGGACTTAGGGCTGGGGATGAGGGTTGCTGACATAACCTCATCTGCTCCGATCACGGAATTTTATCTCCCCACCGCCAAGATAAGTGTTCCTTTGCCCGTCATCTGCGACTTCAGTTCCAGTTCTTTGTCCGCGCTTTGACTGTGTGGTTTATCTTGCTGCTCAGGATCAATTTCTGACTTGTCTCTACGTGGGCAGCATCATGTCTGCAGAAACCCCTAGAAGTGGCGCTGCGACGCCGGTCTCATCGAAGTTCAGCAACCTAGCTTTGACCGAGTACTCGACAGTGCCCACGCCTGACTCAGAACAGGAAGAACGAAAGCAGCTGGGATTACTACCCAATTGGGGTATCCCAGATGCTTTTCTACTTCCCAATGGCTACCCAGATGTGAGATACTCAACTAAATTCTCCGTAAAACGCAAAAACAGTTCATCTCTGACTCACCCGCCACCGTGCAGTATCTCCGATTGATTCTAACATCCCGCGTTTACGATATCATCACCGAGACACCCCTTCATCACGCAGTCAACCTTAGCAACCGCTTGGAATGTCGTGTACTTCTAAAACGGGAGGACTTGCTTCCTGTGTTCAGTTTCAAGCTCCGCGGAGCTTACAACAAGATGGCACATCTGAGTCATGAGCAGAGTTGGAAAGGTGTTGTCGCATGCTCTGCAGGTGAGATATTCCCAAAGCCACTAATAGATATAATACGTGGCTTACATATTGTAAAGGTAACCATGCGCAGGGTGTTGCGTATTCCGCGCGTCACTTGAAGATCCCAGCAACCATCGTTATGCCCTCTGGCACCCCGGCTATCAAGCACCGGAACGTCGCTCGCCTCGGTGGAAGTGTGATTCTCCATGGAGACGACTTCGACGCTGCGAAGGCAGAAGCGCACCGCTTAGAGAAGCAGCACGGATTAACGAGCATTCCTCCCTTCGATGACCCTTACGTGATCGCCGGCCAAGGAACCATCGGAATGGAAATATTGCGCCAGGCAAACTTAGAGAAGCTGGAAGCTGTCTTCTGTGCTGTTGGAGGAGGAGGATTGATTGCTGGTATCGGAGTCTACCTTAAGCGCATTGCACCCCACGTGAAGATAATTGGAGTGGAAGCTCATGATGCGAATGCTATGGCCCAGTCTTTGGATTCTGGGTCTCGTGTGCTGCTCAAAGAAGTGGGCCTGTTTGCCGATGGTGCTGCTGTCAAGGCTGTTGGAGAGGAACCGTACCGACTGGCTCGTGAAGTAATTGATGAAGTCATTCAGGTTTCTACTGATGAGACGTGCGCCGCGATCAAGGATGCATTTGAGGACACCCGGTCTATCATCGAGCCGGCAGGCGCCTTGGCCCTGGCAGGTCTCAAGAAATATGTTTCCTTGTATCCCGACCCTAACCCTAACCGGGAGCTGGTTGCCATCACTTCCGGTGCGAACATGGATTTCGACAGATTACGATTCGTGGCTGAGCGTGCTGCCCTGGGTGAACGGAAGGAGGCACTTTTAAGTGTGAACATCCCGGAACGGCCTGGCTCTTTCGCCAAGCTAGTCGAGGTTATTCTCCCTCACGCGGTCACCGCATTCAGCTACCGTTATGCTCGGGACGAATCGGCCGATGTCTTCATGGGTATCTCCTTGTCTGCCTCTACTGGACAAAAGGATCTGGCGCATATCATGGAAGAACTGGACAAGGGTGGTATGAAGGCGAAGGACTTGAGCGACGACGAACTTGCCAAGAGACACGTCCGCTTCTTGGTGGGTGGACGCTGTGACGTGAATGATGAGCGGTTGTTCATGTTTGAGTTCCCGGAGCGTCCTGGTGCTCTGGCCAAATTCCTGACCACTCTCCGACCCAGCCAGAACCTAACCTTGTTCCACTACCGTAACTATGGTGGTGATGTTGGAAAGGTGCTTGCTGGCATTCAGTGCCCACCATCTGAGAAGGACCACCTGGAGGCCTTCCTAAAGGATCTGGGCTATCCTTTCAGCGAGCATACCGACTCGTCCACTTACCACACCTTCCTTCGTTCTTGAGCCACTCCTCAAGTGGGCTAACTCTTTACGAATTGTGTGTTGTAAAATTGATCAGGACTCATTTCAATTGAAATTCCAGTCTGGCGTTCGGGTGGAGCATAAAATCGATAGATCTTAAGCTGGTGTTAAACGGCCTTTCATATCATAAGTTAATGCAAGACTTTTTTTGGTCTTCTTTTTCCTTTTTCTTGTTTGTATCGCACGACCTTGGTTATCCCTTATTCTACTGGCTTTACAAAAGGCGTACTGCTTTATGCTGAGCAAGTAACTGTGAATTATTATGTATTACCTCCTCATCAACTGCTTAGTGGTACACTTTAACTCCGTACCACTCATACTGAGAGATGTGAGACACTTATTCATATTCTCAAACGAAGGACATCACCAGCTAAAGTTTTCACCCAGTCGCTTCCGTTAGTATCAGAAACCTAGTCGACTAGTACCTGTCCCATATAGAGATCGGCCTTGTAGCCCAATGCCTCTACCATGTCTCCAATTACATGGCACACTTTTTAAGCAAACCGCGTTTGCATACTACGCACATTTCCAACGCTAGGACTCTCGCTAGCCTTGAGAGTCCTCCAACAAACTTCTCGTCTGGTGTGATGCTTCCTTCGTAGTTTTTTTACTGCCCACAGTATAGTGGCTATGGTTGGCGAAAGCCTTTCCATTGAGTGCCCGAGTATAAGGGAAGCGAGCTCCAGCCTTTAGACTTGCGACTAGAGCTTCGATACGCCACAATAAGATCGGCATAGATCGGGCATTGATCGCAACATCAGTCGCAGGACGTACAGTAAGTAAATCATCACGCAATGCATCTCGTCAGCACGGCTGATCCAGTGGGCCATTCCAAACGTGGATTTTATTAGCAGTGGATCCGTGCTGTACATGTTTCGCCAGACGCCGAAGTGTCCATGGACTCATCATCACCCATGGCTATGACGCCGAACGGTGGAGCCAGAGCAAGATTAGAAATGCCTCCCTCTAGGCTGGGAGGGGGTTCAGTTATTGTGTAAAGCAAGGTTCGCCTCCTTCCTCCCATCCCGGTTGTCCTGATTTCGGATTCCAGCCCCCGTGTGGCCTGCAAGACGTATGAAAGCTGTAGCCCTGGGGTACAATTTCAACAAGGCCTCGAGCGTATTAGGCTCTATGTAGTATAACCCCCGTACACCAAACGGTACGTATATGTGACCATAGAACTATGATTCTCGGTCTTGATGGGCTAGTGTGTGACGTTGGCAAGGCCAGATGTCGGATGCATCATGCTTGGTTGCTTAGGTAGTCCAGCATTTTTGTCATCCATCATTTGCTTCTCTGAAACAGCCAAATAGGTATCTGGTCGTTGTTCAAAGAAAGAAATATGTAAGAGGGGTTTATATATGTAGATGTTCTTTCAGGGCGCCGGGTTTAACCACGAATGGAGGCTCATGATGGCCTTGGGCACTTGAGGATGAGAATATGTTAAGGCAAACAGTCAGACAAGGAGAGATGGAAGGTATTTATATAAACAACAGTAGTGCATTAGAGAAAGAAGACTCTGGGAATAATCAGAAAAGCACGGTTGAGTGCAAGATCATTCAGTCCATTGAATGCGTCGGTATACTTCAAAGCCTTATGATTGGCCCCTGCGATCAACCAATGAAAGCCCCCAAATACACCGACGATACCGGAATACCGGCGCAACCAAAGCTCCGACTCACATTTGCTCCGAATATCATCAAACCATCAACGCGGATATCAAGAGAAATCTCCAAACCCCACCCGCCCTTATAAACCAGTCCCAAGACCAACGAGGTCTCACCCAGACGACACCGGCGGCCCCGATTTTCCCAACCAACCCGCCAACAACCAACAACAATGGTGTCCTTCCGCTCCCTCATCGCGCCCTCGACCGGTCTCTTCCGCCAGTTTCTCCGCAAGCCTCTGGCCGGTGGTTTCCTTGCACGGTCATTCTCGCAATTAACGACCTTGTCTCTTACCAATGGTCTTCGGGCTTTGCGCTCCGGAAAGCAGCAGGCTGGCAATGTTAGCGTCGCGTCGACGGTCAAACAGTTGGATCAGGTTCGGGGAATGAAGACCCGCTCGTCGGTGAAGCGGCTGTGCGATGGTTGCAAGGTATGAGAGATTGGGTTGTTGTGTGTCCTCGTAGCTCTTCTTTTGGGGAGTCGGGGTGTGATATCTGCTTTGTATGAGATTGGAATGCTAATGTTGGGATAACAGCCCGTTCGGAGAAAGAACAGAGTCTATATCATCTGGTGAGTCTCTCCGCCGTGTGATTTAAGGGACGTGCCATATGCTAATATAGACCCAGCTCGAAAAACCCTAAGCACAAGCAGCGTCAAGGAAAATAAACGCAAATCGGGAGAAGTGTACGACCATTTCAATCTACTGCATTCATGTTCGATGGATATCGGAAGAAGCTGAAAACGACGTCCTTACGACATGATGTGACAGCTCTTGATACCGGAGGCAGAGATACTTTTTGTGCATATACTGGATATACGGTTTCTTTTATTTGATTGGGATATGGGCGCTTGTATTGTTTGCATGTATATTAGAGCTAAGCATTTCTTCTCATTTTCCTTCCAATTTTGGTATTTGCTCGCTGGATTTTTATCCATAAGACCAACCAAGGTGTGTTGTACAATTCTCATGACTCACTGAGCCTCTTTCAGTGCCCATAGGATTATGCGCATAAGGAGGGTTCATAACGGGATTCATTTTGTTCGTCATATATACCTCTCTATGACTGCAAAGGCCCGCCCATGCCGCCAAAGGTGACACTCTTGATTGTGAGGAATTCATCAATGCCGTACTTGCTGCCCTCACGGCCGAATCCACTCTGCTTAACACCACCAAACCTAGAAGCAATTAGCACTGGTGACTTGTCAGAAGAGCACGGTGGTACCTACGGAGAAGCAACATCGCTGATGAGGCCAGTGTTCACACCAACCATTCCCACCTCCAAGGCCTCTGCAACCCGGAAGATGCGCTTGACATTGCCGCTGAAGAAGTAACCAGCCAGGCCAACCTCGGCACTGTTCGCCAAGTCGACAACCTCCTTTTCAGTTTCGAATGGGAACAATCCAGCAACAGGGCCGAAGGTCTCTTCAGAGGCAAGCAACATGTCTTTGTTCATTTCGGTCAGAACAGTCATGTCATAGAAGTTAGGGCCCAATTCTGGCAATTTATTGCCGCCAACAGCGACCTTAGCTCCCTTGGATTCGGCATCACGGACATGCTCATCGACCTTCTCGATGGCGCGTCCATGGATGACAGGGCCATGTGTGACACCTTCCTCGAACCCTGCCCCGATCTTGAAGCCTTTAACCTTTTCAACGAAACGCTTCACAAATTCGTCATAGACACCTCTCTGCACGTAGATGCGGTTGGCGCAAACACATGTCTGGCCTGAGCTGCGGAACTTAGAGGCGATTGCCCCAGCAACTGCAGCATCAAGGTCTTCAACATCGTCGAAGACAATGAAGGGGGCATTTCCACCAAGCTCCCACGACACCTTCTTAATGGTAGAAGACGATTGCTTCATCAGGAGCCTGCCCACATTGGTCGAACCGGTGAAGGAAACCTTGCGAACTTCTGGGTGGGTAGTCAACGCTTCACCCACCTCTGGTGTGTTCTTCAAGGAAGTGACGATATTAAAAACGCCCTTAGGGATACCGGCACGGTGCGCCAATTCTGCCAACGCATTGGCAGTGAATGGGGTCTCTCCTGGAGTCTTGACCACAACAGTGCAGCCTGCTGCCAACGCTGGCCCAGCCTTCCGAGTGATCATTGCTGCCGGGAAGTTCCATGGGGTGATCAAGCTGCAAACACCCACTGGCTGTTTGAGGGTCATAACTCTGTTACCTGCCACTGAGGAAGGGATAGTGTCTCCATAAATTCGGGGCGCCTCCTCACTGAACCACTCAAAGAAACCGGCGGCATAGTTGACCTCACCCTTGGCGTCCGCGAGAGGCTTTCCATTCTCCCAAGTGATTAGCGTTGCCAAATCCTCGGCATTGTCGATCATCAACTGGTACCACCGGCGCAGCATGCGAGCACGCTCGCGGGCCAATGTTGTGCGAAATTTAGGGAATGCCTCTGAGGCAGCCTGGATGGCCTTTTCGGTGTCGGCCGCATTGAACTCAGGGCATGTTCCGATGAGCTTTCCTGTAGCAGGATCTAAAAGAAATACAGAGATTAGAGGCCGTCACCGCTGTTACTGAACTTCAAGTGTCTTACCGTGAACTTCAAATGTTTGCCCTGACTGGGCCCCTACCCATTCGCCATTGACGTATGCCTTCTCAATAAAGAGAGATTGGTCTTTTAGCTACGCGCCCATCATTGTCAGTCAAATTCTCATAAAATTTCCAATTGATCAACAATGGCTCTCTCACCTGCGGAACTGTATGGCCCATGCTGTATAGTCTCTTAGCGTAAACTGGGGGTGGGATTGTAAATGGATAACGGGCTCTGGATCTAAGCAATTGCCGTGATACTGGACGAAGGAGTCTGTCCATGATCTGAATTAATACCCTCGGCCCGATTATAAATACAAAATGCGAAGGTTCCAAAAAAAGCCGACTTCCGTGTACAGCCTTTACTTCGCCTTATGAGATGGTGCGGGGAAGTTTGGGGATACGGTCAAACACGGGTGTTCTCGGGTTGTCTGCACGGAGTTGAAAGCTGAAAAATATAGCAGGACAGGGAAGACCTTGAACCCTGACTTATATACTGGAAATGCAAAATCAATCCATCCTGTGGAGACTAATCATTGTCGAGAATGCCTCCGAGCTGGTCCCTGTAATGCCGTCCAGCGGGGAAGCTCCGCGTCACGTGGGTCGACGTCATTTCTTTTTTAGAGAGCCCGTAACCCCTAACAACGGCAGATTCGATTATTTTGAGAATCATACACACGATGATGTATATATACTCGAATTCCTGGCCCTTCTTCTCCTACTACGATGCTTTCGTAGAGACACAATCGGACTGTCCTCATATAGATGCTCAAGAATGACTATGGAATTATTGATGTGTAAATACAGGACCATATCGGTATGTTGATCTAGACCTCGGCGCCCTGAGCCAATTATAAATCTTATACTGAGCAGCCCCGGAGTCTTTCTCCAATCATACTTTACTGGATTTTGCAGCGATACAGGACCGTACAATCTATTTTACCTTATCATGGGCCTTGTTTGAGATTGTTCAATCTGGATGATAGGGCTACCCTCAACCCAGGAAGGACAACAATAGTGATAATATAGAATGTATGAAGATAGCTACAGCTGTAGCTCAGTATCATCTGGACTTGCATTATGAAGATAACCCTATGTTCTACGAGTATAGAAGGGCATGCCAGAATTTCGACACCATTAACCGTCAGTATCACCAGCAGGGCCGACAGTGGAAGACTTGAATTTTGAGTCAGTACTCTTCGGGAGATATCCAGGATGCATGCGTTTCATGTGCAAGTTAAGGTTCCATGTCCGTGTGAACCCATTGATATGCCGAGGACACGTCCCGATGGGGCATATTAAATCTTGCTTGCGGTGTTGACCCTTGCCTTTGCGCTTGGTCACCTCATCAGTATGATCAGTAGCAGGGCTAGTAACTCGGGTGCTAGAAGCCTTCTTCACAGAAGCCGTGCGGGAGAGGGATGGTTTGGTACGAGGAGGTGAAGGAGGCGGCAGCGAAGCGTCAGGTTCCTCGGGCTCAACTTCCGCGTAGATCCATGTAGAAGAATTCCCGTCCTGAACTTGCTGCATGGTACCTTCTTGCAAAACCCGAAACTCCATATCCTCACGAAACAGAGCGGCACATCTTTGAGAAGAACGCATTACCACGCTGGTGGAAAGCCGATCATAGAGGCAATACCTAATACTTCGCTCCAGTCGCGGAGGCCAAGACGCATATGACTTGCCGACCTTTTGCGGTCGCTGCCAGTTGAACGTCCCCGCGGCTTTGAGTACTGTGATGTTGATTGACAACGTGAGCTGAGCCGGGAAGATGCTCGTCCACTTGATGCATGCCCACTGTGAGAACGTGGACGGCTTGACCCAGTTCGGGTGGATGACCTGCGCGTGCGCTTCCTGCCCCTCGATTGACTTCGCTCAGCGGTAGTTTGTACTGCTCTTCTCTTGCGGGATGAGATGCTAGAGGCAATACTCTCTGTATCTGTTTGCCACTCACTTGCGGAGCTGTCGTCCGCTCCTCCTCCACCGTTGCGAGCGTTATGAAGAGCCATAAGTAGGTCATCAAATTGGGTGAGTATATTTCGGGTCAGCGGTCGCAATTGGAGTCGTGATTTTTCATCGTCAGCCTGAACGACGGGGCGTAGTGAGTGTTCATCAAGTAAGTCGAGATCGCTTTCCTGTTCCCCATCGGTGGCAGTGTCATTTTGTGTCTTGGCTTGAGACATTGCCCACTGTTGTACAGAGGAAAGCCTGTCGTCCCAAGGTCTAGTCTGGAATTTTTCCTTTGCGTCCTTGAGCATTATAGCCATGAGCGATTCCTCTAACTCGGCACTTGGACGAGGATCCGGCTGCATTCTCAAAGTCCATGCCTCGTCTTCTCCTCTACGGACATGTTCGTTTCCGCGAGGCACCTCAGTAGCCGACATGGGCCATGCTGCCCATCGCTTTGGAGGGCCAAAAAATTTGGTTTCATCTTCTGATTCGCCAGCTTCGACAGCTTGCCTTGCTAGCTCACGGGCCCGTACTCGCAACGCATACGCGTTGTACAGATGAGCTGCAAGGTCCCTAGCCCGAATCGTTTCCAAAGCTTCAGCATTCTGTCTATCTTCAGCAGTCAGCTTTCTCCATTGCGATTCAGCGCCGCGGAATCTATTGGGCCGATATGCAGGAGATGATGGTGGGCTATCAATGTCACTGTGAATAGTGGCGGCATTCGCAGTGCTTTGGGGCGCTCTCTGCTGAGAGCCTCCGGCTTCTGACCCGGACTCGTCTTCGTCACTTTCTCTGTAGGTAGAATCATCGGAATGATCATCCTCAACTATTGGTATATCTTTCATAGACACATCGGCGTCATCAGAATCAAAAGTGGCGTCCCCTTGCCATTCCGGGTACGGTTGGAGATCTGCAACATCTTGGCTGCTAGAACCACCAAATATAGATGTGTATGGCTGGGCAGACTGAGGTAGGATGAAGCGTGGGGAACGATCACCGGAAATTGAGGACATGCCTCAGTAGTCTGCCGGATTTGATGTGGTAACCAGCCACAAGCTTAGATGTACGGACTGCTGGAAGCTTCCCCAGACATGAACCACAAGTACTGCCTGAAATTCTGAAGCCGTCCGATCCAATGAACTTCCAGATAACGATACTGATAAATTTCTTCAGTATGGAAGTATACAGTCTCAGGCGGCGCAAAACATACGGGTTTTCAAGATCAACCGACTCCACAAAGCAGAGAAGCACCCAGAAACTCTATTTGGGTTGAGAATGTTCGGACCCTAAGAGTATGGCTATGATAGAAACTGACACAGAACATGGACCCGACAAGATTTATTTGATCACGTGACCATACATGGAGTATACGGTTTTCTTTTTGGATGCTGAGGAATGATTGGTAGTGGTCTAAATGGGGATGACTTTATGCAACGGATAATAGAATTGCAACTGAATTACAGCAGATCTATATATGCATGTAGAACTGATTGCTATGAACAAACACTAAATCAGAACGCCGATTTGTTGGTTATCACCGAAATCCAAATAAGGATATCATTCTGTCAAACAGTCAACTTTTATGTTACATTATTTCTCCGCGCCCTTTTCAAGCTTTCTCCGCTTGGAGCGCAGCTTCGCCGCCTCTTCTGACTGCTTCTTGTTCGAGTACATCATCTTCTCTAGCAGCTTCCGCTTCTTGCGGCTCATCATCATCTTTTGCCTCTCCAGTTCCTCTTCTTCCTTACGCTTCTTTGACGCTACCTTCTTGGCCTGAGAAGACTTCTTCTTTGTTGAATCACCGGCGGCACCGGAGGAGAATGGAAGACCAGCAGCTTCGGCCTCAAGCTCCTTTTGATGCTGAGTGCGAGCAGATTCCTCTTCATCCTCCGATTCGGAGGCAGCTTCTTCTTCGAATCCACCAAAGTCATCTTCCTCTTCCTCTTCGCTCTCATCTTCATCGTCATCAGTCTCAGCAACATCCATACCTCCATCAACAGAATCATCCTCCTCACTCTCCTCCTCAGCAGAGTCTTTAGCCTTGGTGTCCGCCTTCTTTCCATCGGTGGCCTCCTCCATCTCTTCATCGGAATCTTCTTCCTCTTCCTCAGCTGCAATTTCAGCCTCACCCTCCTCTTCTTGCTCAGCCAGAGTAGCACGAGGATCATATGCACCCTTCGTGGCCTTGACCCATGGGCTCAGATGAGGGGGAAGAGTAGCGCCTGGTGCATAGAGATCAGGGCGAAGAAGCTTTCCTTCGTTGATGCAGTCCCAGATCCATTGGGGCTGAACATAAGTTCTGCCCGGGATACGAGTGCCAGGCCTGACCTTTTGAGCAGCACCAGCACCATTCTCTGAGGCGGCGGGAACAGCCGGAAGTGAAGATTCTGGCAGTGCAGGACGATCGACAATCTGGTGGGTGATGCGGGTGTCTGTTTCATCGTGTGTGAAAGCTCCATCGCCGAGAACAGCGTCCCAGCCGATACGCTTGCAACCAAAGGCACGCAGGATGAATTCCATGGGAGCCTTAGGAGCCTCTCGAGAAATATAGAATGTGAAGGGAGCAAACAGAGCACCAGCTGCGTCTCCACTAATATCGGGTTGAAGGAGTGTGTCCGCCTCAGGAGCTGCAGGCTCGAATTTGTCAATTTCTTCGGTCGATTCCTCTGTCGCCTGCACGGCTTGGTCGTCCTTCGATTGGTCCAGACCGGCCGATTTGATTACCTTGTCAACCTTGGCCTGGACATCCCGGGATACTGCCTTGTTAGCCGTATTGCTTGTTTGCTTGGTGCTTTCGATAGCCTTGGTTGTTTCGCCAACCGCGCGTCCCTCAAGGGTGAATGCCGCCAATTCAGCTCCATTTTCGTCACTTCTGGTATCGAACTTGGGGGGGTATCTTAATCCAAGAGTGGAATACAGGCGGAAGTTCACAAATCCTAGCAAAGTGGTGTAGAAGTCGACGAAGGTGGCCATGATTCGATAATCGACATCTCCATTCACCCGCTGAACGAATCGGTAAGGCACCAACCACATGATATCCTGTCCCTGAATGGTCGCCTGGTAGTAAATACCCTTGATCGAAAGGAATGATTTGCGCAAGGAGTTGGTGACAATCAGGTAGTGCTGGAACTCATGGCAAAGTCGTTGGCAAAGCGCAATTGTCTTGGGGGGTACATGTGCAGTGGAAGGAAGGTTCGCAAAGAGGAACAGAAGCGACAGGGCATCATCCAAGTCCCTCAGGGCGTCGATGAAAGTTGGGTAGCGCTCCTTGATGATATGATCCAAAGTGAGCTGCGGCGCATGGTTCTTCTCCAAGCGAGCAGCGTCGCTCACTTCTCCACGTCCAAGGGAGCGGGCAATCTTTTTCGACAGCGCTTTCTGATCACGGAATTTCCGGAGGAGGGGTTCATGCAGAAGATACTGGATGTCTTTCGTGTAGTAGAAAGTAGTGCTGGCAGTCGAGTTTTTGGCGGCCTTCTTCTTGTTCCGAGGCTCACGGGGATAGATACCTAATTGAAAACAGAAATCGCCAGTCAGCATCGATCATGGTCCACTATGAAGTATACTATGGAACATACCTTTGAAAATGCATAGTCGACGGAAGTCAGGCAGGGAAATCTGAAGCTTGCGAACTGCCTGAGTTCTAGTGATATAGTTTTTGGCCTGGCCAGAGGTTCCTGTATAATATTATCAGTATCTTGCCGGGACGAGATTGTTTAGTTTAAGCGTACCCTTCTTCTTAATTTTCGCCATTTTGGATGGGTTGTGTTGACAGTATGAATGTGGGTGGTGATTAAAGAAGGTTCTTTTGATACTGAAAAATTAAAGTCGATAATTTTTTTTTTTGAGAACTGAATTACTGGATATGGTTAGTCTTTCCACTTTGGGTATGGTAATTCATCCTCCGCCCCTTCAACACGGCCTACAGGTTACCTCAGCAAGCTCAGGCCCCTTAGTTAACTTAATGCACAGCATTGCTTAATAATATGGTTTGTACTAGCTAGTTATGTAGACCCACATACAGCTTTTTTACATAGACCTCAGTTCAACACTACATCCCCTCCTAAACTTGATAGAAGAGGTAGTACTATACAATAGCACGGTTAGCGTGGTGCTGGAAACCACACCCATTGAATTGTTCTTTCGCCCTCGACCACCGTTTGCTGTGGACAAGTAATTCGCTTGCCCTTACCCATACTGCTCTACCATCCCCCAACTGAATTATACAGCCCCAACCTACTCCCCTCCAAGGACAACATACTTCCTCTTCTCCTCTGTCCACCCTAGCCAGCGGACTGCCCTCTGTGAAGAATACTGTGTTATCCAATGATTGCCGTCTTTCAGTAAGGTGTTCATCTTACTTCTCCCACCTATTATTATTCCCCCCTAAATTATAGAGTCGCCAATATGTCGTCTGGCCTAGTTTTAAAGATCTACACCTGTATTAGTGGCTCTAACCTATCCTGGCCTCTCTGCTATGGCTTAATATGTCGAGTGGAACATCTTCCCGAGTGTCTGACGGTTTGTATGCATTGGAAAGGCTCAGCCCCATTGGAAATAGCCTAGTCTCTGTTGAAACGACCTAATTTGTACGCGTCAGTAGTGGCATTTCTTGAATAGAATCGGATTAAATAGGACGAACCCGTATGTAAGTTATAACCAGCTCGGACCCAGTCTTTCTCGCCTCCGTAGAGCTGGATAAGCTCCTGAACGAATTGCTTTGTGGCGTTGGGAACTTCGCTGGATTTTGGAAGATGTTCTGGGTTTCGAGCGCAGAAATCGAGGAGAAACCAAATATCCTGAGAATCGGTTTTCCTCTTATCCTCTGTAAATCGGCCAGTGATTGAACCACATTTTGCGTTCAGAAGCAAGGCTGGCTTCAAAATCTTGATGCCTCCGATTGTTATTACCTCAGTACTTTGATCAAAGGGCTCCTGAAACAAAGAAGATGGTGCAAGGATGTCGATCTGTACAGGCCTTGTTGCCTTATAGGTTGTATGGTTTGTTCTTGCTTCAACCTCAAAGTCATAGGAGGCACGCAGCAACTGCCTTGCGCTGGAGATACCACCCCGAAGAACAACAAAAGCTACGTCTTGAGTTGTCCGACTAGAGCCTAAAACCACACATGCACTGCCGCCAACAAGGGCATACTTTTCACCACGAGCAAGTGCGTTTCCAACCGCCGTTGCAGCTGCGCGTATTTCGTCTGGGTCATGAAGAGCTGAACAAAACATGGTGTTTTCCCTTGAAAAGTGAGGTCAGTATCTCCCTGGTGTAGCAGACGCCAATGATTAGATTCAGATGACGATTCGTTTATATAGACGGTACTACATTTAAGAAGATTGGAGAAGTCCAGAACAAAGTGCATTTTGATTGCAGATTGCTGTATACAGTGGCGGGAACGATAATTGTCTAATACTACTTTGGTAGCCAGTGAATCTGAAAGCACAGGGGAATAATGAAAGTGGGTGAGGCAGAGAAACAATCCAATGAGAAATTGGATAGAACTACTCCATATGCCTTTAAAAGGAAGAAAAGAGTTTTTATTTATATTCCACATAGTTATATAAGAATAATGAGTTCAATGAACACTGCTGAGTATTGCTAACCAAAGCAGTCACTATTAACAAAGAAAAAAAATATCATATTTATAATGGCTCATTCATTCACCAAAAAGTCAAATAGATCACTTTAAGAATAACAAGATGCTCGCCATCTGGTATGGCTGCTCCCTGATAGCCACTTGCTCAGCCGCAGCAACTTTTGCGAACACTTTCTCTATCAGGCTGGGGCTCCTGTGAGGAGAATTCCTGCCTGATGGTCCAACTAGTACGTGATACTGGGAATAAGGAAAGAGTGATACAAAAAAGAAAATTAGTCAGAGGATGACTATATTTGGAACAAAAAAGGAGGTGGGAAGTGAGATAGAAATTCCAGATCAACTGTCATAAACATCGATGAATTCTTTACCAGGTGACTCGGATCTGCAGAGGACAAATTAGAACTACGTTTCCCGCTGACCGAGGTGGAACGACAGGCTTTATTTATGTAAAGTAGATTGTTTCATTGTGTCCCTGACATTCTTTACAGCTGTAGAGGATGCTTGATACAGGTGGAATACGAAATATTGGACGAGAAGACCAGATGGGTGACTAGTTACAGTGTAGCAGCACGAGATTCTGGACAGTCTTCCCTGAGGCGATACCCTCAGCGACCCCCTGAGCGAGCCACTCAAGACATTGCCTGAAGTACAACACTTGAGTCTCTCAAGACCTGCACAAGCCTCTCCTACCGCTTGTGGTGGATGGCATCCTGCTAGCATTCGGTTTCTGTTGACTCAAGAGCGTCCCCATTCTGCTGCTCTTCTTTAACTGGCTTATAACTCTTCCCGAGAAAAGAAAACAGATCTGTATTATCACGGGAAGCAGAGCATTCCCGCAACTCATACTGGCCCTGTAACAACGCATCACGAATAGCCCGCTGGTGCCTTCGAAATGGCATCGTACCAGTCTCCATTCCTGCCAACACATCGAAGTGAAACTGGCGATGTTGATATTTCATCTGTTTGGCAAAGGACTTCACCTTCAAGGCTGGAACATGCGCATAGAGATAGGAGATTTGGCAAGCCAAGACAAGCAATAACATTGTACCATCACTAGGGTCATCCAGCCAGCTCTCGATCAGTGCATCCAGCAAGCCTGCCAGTGTTGGAAATGGTACCTGATATGATAAATCATTTCCCAAAGGCGTATACTCCAGTGGTGTATCGCTGGCTAGAGGAAACTTCCAGTCTGTAGCGGGAAGAAGGACGGTTCTCGTCTGACCATCAGGGGATATCAGTCGCTGTTGAGGGTAGTTCATCAAGTCCACCTCTGCATTCCCGATAAGATGTGGTTCTTGCATATCAAATATCCACCCAGCCTTAGCAAGCAAATTGGCTGCTAGATCAATATCCTCAACGAGAATGTACAGATCGAATACAAAAGTAGGGACACCATAGTGGGAAAGAGCATCCTCAAACCAGATGGCGTGACGGACTTGGTGGTCAGAAAATACTTGACAGGGCTTGTATCTTGTTTCAGCACTGCTCTCCCCCGTGCCACGGTGGTAGTTGAGCCTGAATTTCATAAGCACACGATATTCCTGAAGAATGCAAGTGGCTTGATTAGAAGTAATATACTGCAGCTCCAGCTTAGTACTAGATGTCGATGGTAACCGGGAACATGCGCGGGGTCAGTAAGCTTCGAGTCATTACCAGGCTCCTCTCCTTTGTAGCTTTAATGTTGCTGATTCAGCACCGTTCTCGTCTTGTCAGAACAGTTGCGGTAAAATACCAATAAAGTTATGGCATGGGTATTAGGAATTGAATCTTGCTTTGCTATTCACTCAACTGCGCTGTTTGGGATCGTCTAAGTTGCTACGGAGTAACGCATTGCATTCCATAAGTTTATTTGTAATGTGCCCTAATGCCTTCTTTGACCTCCTACCACACTTCTGTGGCACCAAATTAGTTTTCCATAATTTGAATATACATGTAATTTCCAACGTTTCGTGTTGGAGATTGATGTCGTGAAGGGACTCGGAGTTTCGGACTGGAGATTCCCAATCTAGCTAGTAGACGAAGGGCTCGGAATGGATTATTCGGAGTAAATGGTCACAACTTCTGAGTTCCCAATCTTCTGCAATGATTATAGAAAACCATTTTACTCTCAGTCTAATCCCTCCGGCTAGAAATGTCTAAATATGTATCGGCGGAACGGCAAGCCTACCTCCTGTGAGCCTTGCAGATTGTCCAAGGTACGGTGTGATCATGCTACACCAACATGCGCCAGATGTCGTTCCCGGAGCACACCGGAGAAGGTGAGGAGCCCTGTGTACTGCTTTTGATACTTAAAATGACATGGAGGTTGGATCTAAATCTATATAGTGTTATTACCATCCCGCTCCGATGACTCGTCCGGGGACAAAATACCGCCATTTTCGCATGACGAACCCCTCTGCTCTTGGACGGCGGAGGAATGCATCACTTGACAGTCCGAGTACAACTTTTCTGTTGAGCCAGTCGCATTCATCTGAGATCACACAAGGGAAGCTCAATGAAGAGCAACCTGGGACAACTGGAGATCCCGGATTGGTGTCGACTTCTCCCAAAACCTCGCCTGGAACAGATACCCGCCCAGTAGTTCCGTCTACATCTAGGCTTACCATAGCAACCCACTACCTCATGGTCCTATATGCGTCTTATTCACATTACAGGGACCTCATTTTCAACTATCTTGACCGCAGCCGATCTTTCGTCATCCCTCGGCCATTACTATTCGAGCTGTTTTCGACTCTGTATGATGATATGAAAGCAGGGGTGGATCTTCACTCTGACTTAACCCAGAACACACGCAAGTCCATTCCCTCCATATCTGTAAATACCACTGTAGAGGAGTTTTGTGGGTGGTTTAGAGGAACCAATCTTCGGTGGGAACTTCTTGGGGTTGTTTTCGCCCTTGCGGGTCTCGCTTCGGTTCATACTGCTGAGCCACAGAAGCCACTTAGCTATGAATCTTTTGCTACGGATATGTACACAGCCAGCAGAGCATGTATCGAGATATGTGAAGAATTTAACCAATTGAACGACATGACCACTTGGTTGCGGCATACAAATGTTGCTTTAGCATCAAATTTGTTTGGAGATACAAGTAGGTGTTTCCTGGGTTCCCAACTCAATCGCCGATTTCTTACAGTCTTGCAACAGGCAGTATCCTATACCGTTGCTTCAGCTCATTAACTGCGGAGCTATTCGCTTTGAGATATCATCGCCAGATGTCATTGCAGTCTGAAGTGCCTTTCTTCATGTCTGAAACTCGCAAAAGGCTCTTTGCTGCTGCAGTTTGTCGAGACATGAACCTTGCAACGCTCCTTGAAAGGCCACCATTCATTGACTGTAACTTCTGTGATATGAGATATCCACTTGATCTGGATGAAGAAGAGATAGTGCTGGTTGGGAGTGAGCTTAGTGCAGCCCTACAAAATTTGGATGAGAGCGGTTGGAAGACCTCCTCCGAGAGGGAAAAATTACTTCGACCAGCAACAGGAATACGAATCCGTTTTGCATTATCAAGCCTTCGAGCCAAGATACTGCGACTATCACTAGGAAACCGGATGGAATGCATGACCAAACAGCACCTGTATGTCAATACTGTCGGTAGGAGCTCATGAATCGGTAATAACTAACCCGTCACAGAGAATTATACCAAGATTATGAAAACATTTGGGCTAGAGTCCCAATGAAATACCGCTATAGGAGTGATTTATGGGAATACCTGAGCCCGAGATCATGCGTTGTGCTCTTGAGTGCTCATTTAGATCATCTTCACTGCGGCTTTCAGATCCTACGAATGCTCCAACAGGAAGGTCAAGACACACTTACAGCCATTCTGGATACTTCAATGGGATTGCTTTCAGGCATGCTTGACTTGATGAAGCAACAAGAGCGATTCGTTGAGCTGCGAGAGAGGTTCACATGGATCGTACGTTCGTGCATAAAAAAAATGGCAGTATAAACCTTGATCACTTTCAACTAACGCTTGCGTTCCCCTAGTTTCTGTTTTATGGTCTTCCTGGTGCCGGTACTCTTGCTACGGAACTTCATCAACACACGCTCAAGGGACTCCCTTTGCCTACCTCTATTCCCTGCTCACGTATAGTCCGTGACTTGAGTGTTGCGATCTCGTGGGTTGAGAAACAGAACTTGCCGACCCGCTCAGATTACCAGCTATGCCTTCAAATCAGCAAGGTAATCAGTCGACTTTTAGATGATACCCTGAATCGGGGTCTAGTACCAGCGAAAAATACCAATAGTCAATTGGAGAAGGTGCCGCAAGAGCAGCAGGTGCCAGAAGGCTTTCACATTGACAGATCTTCCAACAGTTCGGATAAGTCTCAGCCATTGCCCGAGCCATTTACTAGCGAGGACTTTCTCAACTGGATTGATGATCTGGTATGGGATGGACAGACTAACATTAGTGTGGGATTTTGAGTGCCATTCAATGATTTTTGGAGGTGTCCACTGTCAATGTCAATACATCTTGAGATGACGACGTATGAACCAACGGAATGATCATAGGCGGAAAAGGGTGTCTATACAAGGCAATATCGAGCAACCTCGGTCAGTGAACTTCGGAGGTAGAGCAGTAATAGCACAGTAACAGTATATCGAGCAACTAGTATTGCTAGATACTACGAGTAGGAGTACTGAGCAGTAGTAGTATGGAGGTATATCCGATGGCCCGTGCACGGCAGACGGAAAAGGCGGAGAGTCTTGGCAGGGCGATTAAATTGATATGGAAAAGGGACAGCTGGACCGACCAACCCGAACAGTTCCCCACGCCAAATCCACCGGGCCTGTTGACGTTGACCCCGTTCGGCTATGTACCGCACTCGCAATATTTCCTGATAGTGTCATGCCGGTTGATCGAAGGCAAGCGGCCGTCTTCGTGGGGGCATTCGCCCTGCGGCTTCTTCTCTTGGTCCTTTTCCCGTCGCTCCCCGACTTGTTGACCGGAAGAGTTGAGGTATCGACACCGGTCAGCAGCTTCAAACGACGTGAGTGACAATGTGCTCGAGGAGCAGCTGCGCTTCAATGCAGAGATACTGACGTAGATTGCCTCAGTTCAGGAGGGTCTCTTCCTATACACGCGAAATGTTTCCCCTTATGACGGAGGTGTCTTCCATCAGGTAGGAAACCTCTCGTCCATAGCTAAAATGATCCTTTCCTGATAACCTATGAAGGCACCGCTTCTTCTCCCTATCTTTGCCTTGCTTCCGAACGCCAGAGAATTTCCTGTACCAACCGCCCTTTTCTACTCATTGATCGATCTTATAAACGCGAACGCTTTGATCACGATATCCGATTCAGGACAGGCAGTCTCGGGGAGGTTATTCTCAGCATTGCGGAAACATATCAAATGGGACGGGGTTTCTGTTGCAGCATGGTAATATACGATGTCCCTTCTAGTGGAATATAGTATCTGACTGGTCAGGTTTCTTTTCAACCCGTTTACTATCGCAACCTGCCTTGGCCGTTCAACCGCCGTCTTTACCACCACCGGAATCCTATACGCACTGTCTAATGCCGTCAGCGGAAATAGTCTCAACGCCATGCTTTCCCTAGGATTCGCGTCGTACTTATCGATTTACCCAGCTCTCTTGTTCATCCCTCTAGTGCTTCTCTGTTACGACCGACGTGCTCAAGGACCAAAGCCACCATCGGGAGTCGCCATCTTCGCCATGCAGCATCTCGTAATCTTTTTGCTTAGCATAGCCGGTCTGCTTGGAATTTCTTGCTTGATCGTTGGAGACTTCTCTCAATTTATCTCTGCGACATATGGCTTCCAATTACTGGTCCCTGATTTAACACCTAACGTCGGCCTTTGGTGGTACTTCTTCATCGAAATGTTCGACTCGTTCCGAGAATTTTTCCTTGGAGTTTTCTGGCTTCATCTGGCGGCATACGTTGGTGGCCTGACCGTGCGACTGCGGAGGCAACCTCTATTTGTTATCGCCTCTCTATTGGGAATCTTTGCTGTCTTCAAACCTTACCCTAGCATCTCAGATGCCTCGTTATACTTCGCCCTCTTGCCTCTTTATAGGCATCTTTTCCCTCGTAAGTGCCTAGATACATCAGGTGCTGATGTTGACTAACTCTTGATAGTGATGCGCTACACTTTCTTCGCGGTGTCAGCGCTTTTGTATGCCACCCTTTTGGGCCCAGCGTTCTATCACCTATGGATCTATGCTGGCTCCGGCAACGCCAACTTCTTCTACGCCATCACCCTGGTGTGGAGCTTAGGGCTATCGATATTACTGGCAGACACCATTTTCGCCGTGCTCAGAGATGAGTGGGAGCAAGAAAATCCCGAAATGCGCGGCAAAGAGGCTAGACAAATTTAAGATATGGTATCATTCTTATGTATAATACAGCGGCCTTGATACGAACACCATGGTGTATATCAGTATTTTCCAACAGTTATCACCGGTTAGACCGTAACGACTTAGACAGAATCATATAGTCCGGCTCCTTCACCATTCCGTTTCGTAGTATGCGAGGTGGTGGGGAATACTCATCCTCCGTGAAGCCAAGCTTATAATAAAACCTTACTGCCTTTTCATTCGATCTGAAAACAGTCAACATCACTTTCTCCAGGCCAATACGTCTCCCGATGTTCGCCAGTCGTATCATTAGCTGCGAACCAAGTCCCTGGCTTTGAGCAGCCGACGACAAGTGGATCTCATAACAGTAAATCACTTTTTTCCCATCCTCATACGTGACCATAAACGAGGTAAACCCTAGGAATTGACCGGTGGAGGATACTGTGCCCCCTTCCGCATTATCTATGTTCTCAGGAGTCGCCTTCGAGCCCTGTCGCAAAATCAAATATCTCATATCTGGCAGTCGCATCTCCTTCATTTTTTTCTTCGGCGACCATCCCCAGCCAGACCCTTTGTAAGCATCTGAAGATGTTTCTTCAATCAACTTAAAGCAAGCCTCAAAATCCGCATCCGGAATAGAATCAGCCGTATAGATATCGAGCGAGTAATGTAACTCTTGCTCATGTTCCGACGCAGTCGGATTTTTAGCAGGACTTCTCCGATATTCGAGGTCCTCAGCCGATACATAGAACTTCACAAATTCGGCCAGCGAAAGCTTGTTGGTGCGCTCCACCAGCGGCAATCTTTTTTGGCCATCTAAAAACGCGTTAGAACGCGTCCAATAGAGCACTAATTGGTCGCAACGCAAAGGCTTCGTTCGCCCTGACATAATTGATGCATTTTGAATGTTATAATGGGATCGCATACCTTTCCCTAGCTTCTTGCTTAATTGTTCGATTTCGCGCCTCGTCGCATCTCGCCGCGTCGATTTATTCTTCGTAACCCTGCCTTTACTGGCTGACGACATGGTAATGACGGTTTTATGTGGAAGTTTATATCAATTGATCAAGCCTATCAATCTGCAAGACTTGATCCTGTTATTAACTAGGTATGTTGTAGGGTAGCTTTGTGGCTTTCTTATTGTTTGGGTTTGATCGGGGTGCAGGAGGAAATTATTAAAATTATTATTAATTGCTTGGTGTGGCTTCCGAGCATAAATTTAAACATCCAATGAACTGATAGTAGTATTTATCTTCATCCTGCATGCATGAGTTGACACCGCTTTACTGCGCGTGTAGGTATGCATTCAGATAGGAGGGGTCTTTTTTCTTTTTCTCTACTTTCTGTCCTATTTAACCTTTTTTTAGAGTCTTTTTATGGAATCCATTTCTAGGTTTTCATTGCTTGTGTCTTAACATCTTTACGGATATATAACAGTTGTTCACACAGCGATTAATGGAACCCCAACTGGGTACATCGAGACCAAGCAAACGCAATCTTACACGACGATCAACGTCTAAGCTCCCTCTCTCTGCTTCACAGCATGCTCCTCCGCCCGCCTCTCTGTTTCTTCAGCTCCCACTTCCCCAAAGACATCAATTCCCCAACGGAAGGGGAAGTTGTATCTTTGGTTACGGTCAAGTTGGTTCAGGGCTTCGAATTCAGGGTCGGGAATAATGAAATCTAGAGCAATTAGTCTCTGGAGATATAATTCAACAGCAGCAAGGGGGTAGAAATGTACCCTGGAAGTTGCTTTCGATTCGCGAGGGAGTGACACTCTTCGGTAGCACGGCAGTGCCGCGCTGGACAGCCCACGAGATCAAAACGGCGGCTGGGTCTTTGCCTAATTTATCGGCGATCGCTTTGACTGCGGGGTCGTCGACAACACTGTTATATTTATCGGTATTAGTGGATTGTGTGCCGTGGGTTACATGCTGTGGAGGAATGAGGGCCCTACCGTGGGGCGTTGTAGATGTTGTTGCCCAGAGGACTGTATGCGACAGATAAGATATTCTGCAAGTATATTAGCATCTATACCCCAAATCACATCCAAGAATAGAGATATTCTGACCTTCTCCTTCAGGTACTTATGCAGACTGGGCTGTTGGAGATAAGGATGGGCCTCGATTTGGTTGACAGCCGGGGGAATCTTGGCCGTCTTAAGAAGATCATCGATCTTGTCCTGTGTGAAATTGCTCACACCAATGCTTCGGAGCTTGCCCGCCTCCACGAGCTTTTCCAGAGCAGCCCATGTCTCGGCGATAGGAACGTTCGCCAAACGGAATCGCTTCGTGACCGGATCGATAGGCGTGAGAGTTTCGTTTGTATGTTCAAATGCGACGGGCCAGTGGATCTGGTACAGTTCGGTCAGCTATCCGTGATCGAATGACACACAGAGCGAACAAACCAAGTATAGATCCAGGTAGTCCGTCTGAAGGTCCTTAAGGGTCTTGCTGACTGCCTCCTCGACATGTTCGGGATGGTGATGTGTGTTCCATAACTTGCTAGTGATCTGTCTTGCAATCAGCCCATGTCGCAACATCCATAGCGACGAAAACGCCATCGCCTGGCAAAGGTACTACTGACATAGATCTGGTCTCGAGGCACACCCGACTTCTTCCAGCCGTTTCCTACTTCATTCTCATTCTGGTAGCATGCTGCGGCGTCGATATGGCGATATCCTGCGCGCAACGCTGCCTCGACGGCATTCTCAACCTCGTGAGGTTTTGAGAGCTAGGACTGTTAGTAAAAGCCAATTGCGATCGGTATCATTCCCCGGCGCGCGCTTCCATACGTACCCAAGTTCCCAGTCCGATGGCGGGGATGTTGTATCCCGAGTTGAGTTTGAAAGTTCTTCCCAGAGACATGGTGAACGAGGTTTCTGTGTTGTACAGCAAGTTATAACAATGTCCAGTGTTTTTCTGCGTAGCGACACAACTTTGAGAATTATATAGTAGGAGGGGAGATCGCCAGAGAAATAAGGAAAAAAAGAGATGTCGGAATTGGAGCGACTCGGAAAATGAGGTGATAGTTTACCCCTCATCTCTTGCCTTATTATGGCGGATAATTATCCATTGACTCTACAATGATCGGCAATTGAGCTCAATTAACAAGTGTATTGCGCGATAACTAACTACCTCTGCAGCGCTGTCCTTGAATTTCCCTTCCCACGCCATGACATTACCACATAAGTCACACCCCTCCTATGGAGGGAGAAACGATAGGCTTGAGTATACGACATAACGAAATCAAAGCCAATCTCCATTTAGTCCTTCAGGTTCAGCTGACCAAGGAGGACAGTAGGCCGGGTTCAATCTGCTAAGTATTTTCGAAGCCAAATCAGGACAATGCTTGAGGACGTCATTGAAAGAAGACTGATAGCGGAGCTCCTCAAAACTGAATGCAGCATAATGCGCCAGCCAGTCTTGAAGTTTGGCCGATGACTTGTTTGCAGGAATCTTCGTATACGCAAGCTTCAGTAGAGAGATAACACCAAGGCGATCGTTCGCCGTATGTGGCTTGTTCATGACTTGGATGGCCACCTTGATCTTGGTAAAGACAAACTCCTTCAGTTTTGGGACGACATACTCCTCGCTGAAGATCAGAAGTGCCATATGAGCCACCAGTTGATGGTCGAGCCTCTCTAGCTGATCGCTAGCATGCGCTTTCTTATCTTTGTCCGTTGTCTTGTCCAAACACTTTAAGACGGGCTCAGCATAGTCTCCTCGATAAGCCCATTCGAGGAACCGCGCCAGAGTATCCTCCGAGGTATCAGAAAAGGTATACACTCCACTTTGCCTCTCAGTAAAATTGTTGTTGAATGCCGAAGCAACAACCTCGCATTTGGCGTCAAGAAGAGCCTTGTGGACCTTGAACACACGCGTAGAGTTGAGGGCTTGGAGGGAGACGACGTCCGATTCGAGGAATCTGTCGAGGCTGTCAATATACTTCTAACGTCCCAGTACTCTCGTATTCTCTTTTTTAAGAATAAACTCACTCGTGAAATGCGCCGCTGTTTTCCGTCGTCATTGTGGTTCGTCTTAGACGCACTTCAGGAAGACGGGGACAGTTCTGATCCTGAGTACGATAAGTCGTGCAAAGATTGCAAAATGAGGTTTGTAAAAATGTAGAAACTGGCAGTCGGTTTCTGCTCAGTAGTCTGGCCTGATTTGCTAGATTGGAGATGGGTATGCAATGAGGAAGAGCAAGGAGCGATGGTAGAGGGTGGGAAAGAGTACGACTACATTCACTCGTAAGTGATTCTGGCTATGCCCGCTGTTATCACCAAGTAGTGCGAATTTCAAGAGACCTCCTTAGTATCACTCTTTCTCCTATAGTGAAGGATATTTACTTGTTAGCCGTATATCATTCGTTTGTAAGAGAATTTTGGAAATGATATTTTTCGGGATTTCTGCTGCATAAGCTATTTTGATTTTTTCCAGTCTGAGAGTGCCTCATAAGCTGACCAAAGTATCATGTACATGTCAGAGGAACCTGACAACTCGTAATCATGCAAAGAATATACACTCGGAAAGATGCAACATGAGTATCAACTTAGTAAGAAGTGGTATAAGCCAGGCTAAAATCATGAAGGCAGTATAAAAGGCGACATTCTGCAGGATGATATAACGTCTTATTTTCCAACTGTCACTCCATTTGACAGCTGCAAGCCGAATGGTAGTCCCTTGGTGTATGGTGCTGTGAAAGGCAACCCTTTGCGCGTTGCGATCGCTTCTTCGACATCTTTGTACATATCGTACCTTGAGCAGAGTGTTAGAGCCTGCAGCAAAAACATTTGACAAAAGAGTCATCAACTTACGCATTCATCTCTTCAATAGTCAGCTTCTTCTTCTCATCTTCGACTTTGTATACGGAGTTTGAAGTATTGCTCGAGAACCCTTCAAAACCTGTCAGCAACTCCCTTTTCTTTTGCAACGGCAACAACAACGCCACTACTTACCTATCCGTTCATTGATATTATAAGCCGCCTTTGCTGCGGCAGATTGAACCTTGGTAGCTCGGGGCAATCGAATTTGATCATAGATGGCAAGGGTTTCGGCAATATCTCCAGTGAAATAGGTCTTGTTGAAAAGGATCCCAAGCGCTGCGGCATCTTCAATTGCCATACAGGCGCCCTGGCTTTGGTGAGGCATCATCTGTATTATATTAGCCTTGGTTATTGTACAGTTAAAATGACAAGGAATAAAGCTGTACCGGATGACCTGCATCGCCAAGTAAACAAACCATATTACGAGCGATGTATGGATATGGTTGGCTATCGAAATTGCGTCAGAACAACACCATAACAGAAGGGAAGAATGTCGACTTACTGAACCCACAGCCGCCAGGGACGGATCTCTGTGCCGATAGATAGGTGAGAAAATACTTGACGATCGAGTTCTGGGTACTTCTCCAGTAGCTCCTCCACCGGATGGTCTGCACTGCCCCAGGTGTGATTGCTAAAGTCACCCTGCTCTCGCGAGAAAAAACAGTAATACGATAGCAAGCTACCACCATTGCATGGCGAGAGTACAATCTTGTCCCACTTGCCTTCTTGGCCGCCCCAGTACTCCAGCGCACTGTTTTGAGAGTAGTCAACCAGGCCAAGTCGAACGGCGTCTTCTGTACGGACATTGGCATGTAGGCAACTCTGGTCCGAAGGCTTCTTCTCTGGATTAAGTCCTATGATACCACGAACGACCGAACCAATACCATCTGCGCCGATTATCAAGTCATGTTGAGCCTGGATTCCGTTCGTGAAGGTGATAACACCCTTGGCTAGGTCGATATCTTTGCACTGAAGGTGTTGTTAGCTTGGACCTGTTCGTCGAGAAGCATCGCGGTAGAGAAGGAGTGGTATACCGCATGGTTAACGAGGAGCTTAGCTGGAGTGCCTTCTCCCTCCTCTTGTAGTGCACAGTCCTTCAACATCGCATGCATGTACTGACGATGGAACATGTTGTAGACGTAGCCCCATTTCTCCTCGTAATCCTCGAGGTCGTAGACACTGACCGGGTCGCCGGTCTTCCAGTCACGGTTGATGAGCTTGCGCAGCACGACAGGGTCACCCTTTGCGACATCCACGCCCCACTCATGAAGCCATCTTGTACCGTTGGCAGCACATGAAACTGAGGCGCCGACCTCACCAGCAAAGTCGTTGCGTTCGTACACGGTTACTTCATGACCGGCACGGCGGAGGGCAATAGCGACGGACATGCCGCCAATACCACCTCCGACCACACCGACATTCAGTCGCCTCCAAGATTCTTGATGAGATCCCATAGTTGTAGTTGAATCTATTCGGTATTGCAGTGTGTTTGCGATAGTGGCGATGAACTCTGACCGTGAGGGCGTAGGCATGGTGCCCTTTTAACTCTTGAAAGGACTGGAGGCATGATAAGATCACACGGACGCTGGCGCCGCTTATCATGGACTCATGTCGCTCATTTGCCTATGCGAATCTGTTGGCGTGAGACGATATACTTTCATGACGTTTACTGGCGGAACATGCACACCCGACCAAGTGCACTACCCGCGCGGGGGGTGCGGGCCGCGCCCGTACGAAAAGCCGAGATTAGCCTCTTTACCTCCTTGTTCTCCAGATAAGAACAATGTACTCCATGCCTCAACCCCAGTCCTTGCCGACCCACTTCTGATGCTGCTACGCACTACTATTCGCATCTTTACTAGCGGCTAATAATTCCCCGGCATAACTCTTTCTGCCGAGCAAGAGTGGGAACTTTGTTGTAACAGCAAACCAGTCGTTCTCCACCATCCCCGATCCTCTATCCGATGCCGCGGCCGCGAGTAAAACCACAAGACCGGAAGCGTTCGGTCAGGGCATGTCTTCCTTGCAAAGCGTCGAAGAAACGTTGTGATGGCGCCCGACCTTGTCGAACATGTCAGATGAAGGGCACTGCTGATTCCTGTGCATTCACACCCCAGCAGCGAGGAACACAGTCCACTGAAACTCGTGGTCCTAATCCACTACAGCTATTAACACCGTCGGAAGTTGACCACCATGCAACCGCATATAACACTCTAACCCCTATCGAAAAACCGCGACTACGGGAAAGCGACGATGTCCGCAGTACGCGAGATACAACGCCCTCCGCCGGGCAACGGCCTACCATGCTGTATAGCTCTAGCGGTGAGAGAGGTGTGTTGCGCCCAGTGTGAGACTGTCCACTTGTAAGGTCCAGATATTAACCTAGAGGATGATCAGTTTTTATGGGCGGTGCTGCCGCCGTATCCTTTCTTCAATTCCTACAAGCGATAGTGAAGCGCTACGTCGGCCCTGTGGGTTTTACTGAGAGCCAGAATAGTCGCAAGATGTTCGAAGTGGACGTCCCTGACACTGAAACGGACTTCTTTGCCGATGAGTTGATGGAGACAGAGAAATGGGCACTTATCCAGTGCTTCTTAGAAGTTGTGAGTCTTCATCATCAGTCTGTTACGCCAAACCCAATCTGAAGTTGTAGCTTACGCTGTAGAAAGTCCAGCGGTCTTTTGGACCTCTTTAGTTGGGAGGAGATTAATCGGATGGTTAAGGTGTCCAATAGTATTCGTATGCCCAACGCCGGTCAATTGGAAAGCAACGTAAAGGAGGACCTCACTGCTGTATACATGATGATTGCTATAGGAGCTCAATGCAAAGGCAGAACCCAGGAAGATCTCTTATGCGCAGCAAGATACTTCAGTCAAGCCCGGAAAATGGCGTTTGGAGGCTTCCTAGAGGATCCGACCGTTTATATGGCCCGTGACTTTCTACTGATGGCCTTCTATATGTTTGGAGCCTGCCGACGAAATGCAGCCTTCATGTATATTGGAGTAGCAGCAAGAGCTTCTATAGTTCTTGGGCTACATGTTTCCGGACAGTACAGACAGATGCCTGCAGAGGACAGGGCTAGAAGGTATGTTCTTAGCTACTGTTTGCTGGGGGAAGCTAATGGAATCGCCAGGTTACGGATCGGTAAAAGTATACGAGTGCTCGATCTCGTTTCTAGCTCTATCTTAGGTAGACCTGGAAACACATCGTCACTCCGCACCTATGACATTCGTGCAGATGACTTCGATCAGGAAGCTAGTCACCGTACTTTAGCCCTCGATGCTGCGTACGAGGCCTCCTCGGTGCTGGAGGCTATTGTCCAGAGGCTCACTGAGGGGGAGAAGTTGGATGCTAATTCTGCCGACCATTTCCTGCAAAGTTGGCGTGAATGGAGTCAAGCACTGCCCGACAAACTGCGCCTACGACCCCGGAAAGAACCTGATCTGGGATTAAATCCAGACTATCGGGAAAATATGATTGGGAACATCCATGTCGCCTGCACTTACTATTTTGGCGTCATCCTTGTGACACGTCAATCTTTGATCCAGCATATTATGCCCCAGATACGCGGCAAGAGACCAAGGAAGACGGCCCCCCGTCAGGAAACCAGTGAAGGAAATGAGAAAGTTGCTGAACTGTCAAGCGTTTGCACTGATGCTGCGACGTACATGGCACAAATGTGTTGTGATGCAGCCGAGGCTGGTATCCTGTGGGGGAATATGTGTATCTTGAAGTGAGAAGACATTGCCTTAATATCTCTAGTCTATAGTAAGCTGACTAGGTCTTATAGAGCATGGCTCTTCGCAGCCGGTCTGGTCTTGGGATTTTCCCTTCTCGCGGAAGGGCAGACAACTTCGGAAATTTGCGATGCCTTTCACGGCGCATGCCGTCTGCTCGGGTCACTAGGACACTTGAGCCCTCAGGCGGCACAGTACCATCGTATCCTCACGAGCTTTTCCGAGGCTATTGATGTCTACCGCGAGCGGCTACGGCGTGAGCGGCACGAGGCCCGAACGCCATTTGTTGAACGGATTTTGACTCTGGATCCGAGCAGTGATACTAATGGTGATCAGCAAAACAATCAAGAACCAGCACCTATCGCCGCAGTGAATGGTGAATCAAGAGTGGGAGAGAACGAAGAAGAGTCCTTCGTGGAATCACTCTCTGGCTTTCTGAGTTTACGAGAAACTTCTGACTGGCCGCCCCCGCTGGGGAACGACGACCTAATGCTACGCCTATTTTGGGACGGATATGCCCTCAATTTCACAGACTACCTCCCACCCGATGAGACAATACCTCCTCCTACTTGAGACGATTGCGCGATGTGCAATGGCAACCCTTAAGTAAATCAGGGATATGCTTAATTAAATCTCGGGATTCTTGCCAAAACTAGCCATTTTGATTATGGTCAGCGAGAAAGGCATATCTAAGCACCCCATGGCATGTTCAGAGGCAGCTCCATCCAAACACCACCCGGATAATTGGAAGTTGTCAGTGCCCTCTGATCGGCATATCCGATCGCTACAAACGGCACAGAGTGCAATAGCACGAACTTGATAAAGTGATATTCCAGCGCACCAAGCAGAACTCGATGATGCTCCCAAATGGCCCCTGAAGAGGGCCTTCTAGAAGCCATTGAATAGGAGAAACGCGGGCTACCGAATAGATTCCTCTAGGACCCATTTACCAAATTTTATACCCCGCCCAGTTGCGTGAGCTGCTTTTTGCATAACTCTCATTATACTCCACCAGTTAATTGTTCAGATGAACAAGTCACGTTATGTACGGTCCAATGCCAAAAGCTAGGCTGAAGTTGTGGAATAGGCAACCATAGAATTATGGATAATTATCCATGGTTCTTATTCTTAAGAGCTGGCATCTATTGAGCGGAGTATAACTGGCTATGACAGCGTTGGTTGTTGTATATTCTTTCTGGGAACACACTTATTTTATATTCAAGAATTGGACTTTAGTTGTAAACAGGGTATGAGAGAGGCGGTAAGAAACACCACGTGCTTATCATGCTCAACCTGACGAGAACGTGGAAAAGCTCCACACATCGACGCTGTGTTTTTCATCATGTCTCCGAAAGAGGAAATCCAACTGACTCGGATTTATCAGCAAAGGGAGCCACCCACGGCCTCACGAGCTGTGATTTGACGAGGAATACTCTTGGAACTCGGTCGGAAAGATGGAAACTGAAATGTCTCCCAGTTACTACTAGTAGTAGTACACGGTACCCATCTGCCGGATCCTTATTCGAGGAGCGCCATAGATGTGGGGATTGCCCACTTACGTCAAGAATACACAGTTCCAGGCCTCCACGAGCTTTGGAACTACTACATAAACCCCCTCCATCAAGGAGCTGAGTGTTGGTTTTTTGCATCCCAATCCACAATTGATCCATTCCCCATTGACACCAGTAACCTAATATCAACCATGGCGCCCGAGAACATGAAGCAGTGGACCGTGAAGGGCAAGGCCAACGGCTTTGATGAGCTTGCCTACGATGATGCGCCAGTCCCCAAGGTTGGCGATAACGATGTGTTGGTGAAGTTCCACGCCGCCTCGCTCAACTATCGCGACCTTATCATCCCAAAGGTGCGTCGATGACTACAAAACCTCGCTGCAATTGTGTTCCCTGCTAATGCGTGCTGCCAGGGCGTGTACCCCTTCGCCCTCAACTTTCCTGTTGTGCCGGGCTCGGATGGAGCCGGTGAGGTCGTTGAAGTGGGTCCCAAGGTGTCTCAATTCAGCAAAGGAGACAAAGTGATCACCTTGTTCAACCAGCTGCACCAGTACGGTCCTATTGATCCAAGGGCTGCCGGATCTGGCCTGGGTGGTGTTATTGATGGTACTTTGCGTCAGTACGGCGTCTTCAACGAGAATGGCCTGGTGAAAAGCCCGAAGAACCTCACCCACCTTGAGGCCAGCACGCTCTCGTGTGCCGCTCTCACCAGCTGGAACGCCCTGTATGGCCTGAAGCCTCTCCAGCCAGGACAGACTGTTCTGGTGCAGGGAACTGGCGGCGTTAGCTTGTTCGCACTGCAGGTAGGCTTTTTCTTCTATTTGTTTCCTGGCTAATTGGATGTTGGAACGGGGTATCTAACGAAATATTCATGGTAGTTCGCTAAAGCTGCCGGAGCGACTGTCATCGCTACCACCTCCTCTGAAGAAAAGTCGGAGAAGTTGAAGGAGCTTGGCGCAGACCACGTTATCAACTACAAGTCCGATCCCAATTGGGGCGAGACTGCTCGCAAGCTCACCCCCGACAATGTTGGTGTGGACCACATCGTCGAGGTTGGCGGCAGCGGAACTCTTAACCAGAGCTTCAAGTGTATCAAGCTCGAGGGTGTCATTAGCATTATTGGTTTCCTCGGCGGTGTCGACCCCAAGTCCCAGCCGAGCATTCTCGACACCCTCAGCAACATCTGTACCGTTCGGGGTGTTTACGTTGGAAGCAAGGAATTACTGAATAACATGGTAAAGGCTATCGAGGTTAACGATATCCATCCTGTTGTGGACCCTAAGGTCTTCAGCCTTGAGAAGGCTAAAGATGCTTATGAATACATGGTAAGCCTTTCTGTGTTTCTCAAGGGGGTAACATCTTATGCTAACATCCTCTACAGTGGGCCCAGAAGCACTTCGGAAAGCTGGCGATCAAGATCGATTAAACGCTCTTTGAAGCTCAAATACCTAATGTAATGAATATGACTGATCAATGGCTTTTATAGAGAATGAACATTTGATGAGCATAATACAGATGATTTCCAGGCTAGTACTTCAATTAACTGACTTAGAGCTCTAGCAAATATTACCGAGAAAAGGCTTGGTATGTCCCGAGACAACTCGGCAGTCACTGATACGCAAGCTAGTGACGAACAACTACAAGTCCATCAATATCTCCGTAGCAACACGTTCCCCCGATCGGATTGCGCCATCCATAAACCCAACCCAGAAAGATGAGGCCTCTGTTCCTGCAAAATGGAGTTTACCGTGCGGTGACTTCAAGGAGGTACCATACGCCGTGAGCACACCCGGAGGGGCATACGCAACAGGCCCTCCCCTAGAGAACTGTTCAAGGTCCCACCGCTGGATGACCCAGTTCTGAACATTAGCCGCTTTGGGCCCAAAGTAGCGAACTAGGTCTTCGGTGATCTCTTTGGTTATCTCATTCCCAGGCAACCGATCTAGTCTTCTCATTTCGTCCGCCTCTATAAATCCCATCATGATGCCTGATGAGCCATCCTCAGGGGAGCTGTCGAAAGTTATTCGTACGGCCCCAGTGTCGCTGACCACCTGTCCGTTGAGGCCGGCATCCCGCCAGAAAGGAGTAGCGTATGTAGCGAAAGCTTTTCCAATAGATCCCATTGGCATTCGCTGGGTGAGATGATCTCGCGCTGCTGGCAGCAACGGCTGATAAGTGATACGGGATGCGAGGGGAGGAGACATGGCAATGACCACGTGTTTTGCTATGACTGATCGATTATTCGAGGAGACAAGGTAGTTCTCACCTTTTAACTCAATGTTTTGAACAGGTGCATTGAAAATGATATTGCTCAATCCGATTGTCTCAGCAAGTCTGATGGCTAGCAGCTGGGTGCCTCCCACAATACGTTGTTCCTGTGCCCCGCCAGCGACATCTACGAGGCGCTCGAAGGTTCCACGCGTAGTTGCATTACCCGCGGCGGCGATATACGCAAGCGTGTACAAGAGCGACTGTTCTCGAGGCTCAGTGGAGAACACCGATTGTAGACCTTGTGTAAGCAGAAACTGGGCATCCGGATGGGGCGCTTCACGGTTCAGCCAGCTTTGTACAGTCTCACTATCCCACTCGATAGATTGAGAGTGGTTCCATGGGAAATTGACATCCAGCTCAGTCGCCATCGTATCTAGCAGCAGAAGTGCCCGTCCTGCCTGCGCCAGGCCGTCGGGCGAAATAGGCACATCTCCGGTCGTGAAGGTTCCATTGAAGACGCTGCGTGTTCCGTTTCGGAAAAGGGTCGTATTGCCTGAATCAAACGTTTTAAAGGTCGACAAGCCAAGTGACTGTGCCAGGTCGAGTACTCTGTCCTGAGTCGGTCCCAGGAATTGAGCGCCGACTTCTACAATTCCCTTGTTTGGTAGTTGTGTATTGAGGACGCGACCACCAACTCGGTCTCGAGCTTCGAATATCACAAAGGATTTTCCGGCTTTTGAGAGGTCTTTTGCTGTGCTTATGCCGGATAATCCGGCTCCTACTATTGCGACGTCAACAATGGGGAGGTTCTGAGATCCGTAGATGAGTGGGAATAGGGCAAATAGAATGATCTTGATGGCAGAGTACATATTGACAATGAGTGTTCCAAATGAATTCTTTTAGAAGATAAGATACAACTGCGAGATGTCAATGTGTGACAAGCTTATGCTATCAATCACGGTAGCCATGAGAAATACGAGCCGGTGAGAAAAGAGCATATCATTATGTGTTGTCGTGAATTAGAGTCGTCACGAGGTGTGACAGGTGATTTCTATTGATATCACTTGACACAGTTTGTAGCCAGGGTGAATATGGCTTCATGTTAAAAAGGTCCATGATACTGAGACTCCAAATCGAGGCAAAGGATACCTTATGGCGGACTAAATAGAGCTAACGGACAATATCAAATATTATAAGCTTTATTAATAGTAATACATCGGGCTGCTATGTTAATAAATTACTAGTAGTTTACTTCTATAATATCCTACAGACTTCTATTGATTAGCCGGTTCGTTGGAGTATAGAGATCTACCGAACTATATAATATAGAAAACTCAAGTTTATAAAGAATTATAATATTTTTCAACTGAATTTCGAACACGTTAGGCATTGCTTCCTTTCCTTTGAAATAGTGATTAATTCGCGATGTCGTGGTCTATTTCCATTGTACGTGTATAGCCCATCAATCAATAACATGAATCACTACCAACCGTATTCCTAACTATGATCTATCTTCCAAGCCGTAAGCCAATCCAGAAAATGGGCCGTTGAAGAGGATTGTATAATCAATCAGGGAAGGGGGAATTGACACGAGATTCCCCAGAAATTTTAGTTCTGGTCGTAGATGGGAAGGCTTGGAGAGTCGCAGTTGAAGCGACTTGGCCGAACCTCTGATTTCGATCTGGCGTCCTTCTCTGCTTTTCCGACGACTGACTCTGTTGATCCCCCCGGGTTCGAGAACAAGACAGTTTCTATTTCCCTGGCAGTCTGTACAAACGTACGGGTTATAAGATAAACCATTTTCAATACCAACACATTCCAAATGCTGCCACGAATAGCATTTGAAACAACAAATACCATTCTCTTCTAGTCGACCACGCTTACCACAGCAGGGTATAGACGACTTGTAATTTTGCACTTTGACGTTCTTTAACTGGGGTACCAAACTATAGTAGTACTGCTCGGCTGCAAAGGAAGCTTGCGCAAATGCTACAGCATCTCGCGGGTCCAGTTCACAGAGAATCATCCGGAAAACCTCAGGTGGTACGGTAAACTGCCACCGTTCTCTGAGGATCGGAGGCTTCTTCCAACAGTCTGAAGTTAGAACCCGAGCTAAAGCTCGGAAGCCAGGTGAACATTGGGTTGCTGAAGAGTTGGCGAGCAGTACCAGACTGCTGTTGCTCAAGGCGGTATTATGGGAAAGCTCCACAAAGGTAACATGATGTGGTGATATAAGAATCAAGCGGATGTCCTGATGCATGAATTGGGAATTATTGATATATGATTTGGCTTTCAAGATGGCTCTGTCTATCATGGCCCCAGAGTCAACATCTTCTTGCAGAATAACCAGGTAACCATGGAACCAATATATGCCGGCCTTGGGGTAATTCCAAGCAGGAATCGATGCGAAAGAGATTGGAAGCTCGACATTGCTATCAAAAGACACCTCAAAATCCCAGGCCGCAAGACGCAGGAAAGCTATGCATAGCACGTTGAAGATAGGAGAATCATATCTCCATGTCAGAGGATCATCGACATAAAAGCGCCATAGAAAGACAAAGTCTGTAAAGAATCGTTCCTGAACCTCATTCATGGAAGTGGGAATGCCAAAATCTATCTCAAGCATTTCAGAAACCAATGACTGAAATTGGGTCACTTTTGTTTCACTGATACTGTTGTTGGACGAGTATTGCGACTGTTGAAAGGAATGTTTTAAGATGTTGGAAGACTCATAGATTTTGGCGAGATCGATCCGTATCGTCGCAGGTGCCAATAATCCATCAAGCACATTCCACAGTGACAACGTGAAAGTACCCGCATCCTGATCGACAGTATATACATAATCTAGGTTGGAATGGATGGGACTAGGGAATGGGACTATTTCCCATCCTTCAAGATTGTTGGGCTTGTCATGCAGCTGCCTGATTGTTCGCCATGTGAATTCATCATCTGGAGGACTTATGCGCCCTCGCGGATGACACCAGCGATACCATTTCCCTGGAAGAGTATGTCAGTATGGCAAATCATAAAGTACAAAGTTCACCGACCATTAATATGTAAGTTCCACAGCCCTCTACACCCCATACTTGTAATAAGGGCTTAGTGTAGAATGGAGGTCTTTATCTCTGAGATGGGCGTATGCGCCATGCTTAGAGCGGGAAAGCTAAGCGGAAGGGGGAAAGCGTTCTCGTGATATCGTTGAGACCTTGAAAGAGAAGGTTCAAATTAAAGACCTCGGATACTAAGATGTTGGTAAGAAATTGCAACATCAGTCCTATTGTCTGCCTGTGATTGGAAGAAATATAAGCCAATGATGGAGCAGAAGAGCAGAGCTAAACCTCCATAGTATTTACTAATTATTCCCCTCACGCCACTTGAGTGGACGTTCTGCACGATGGACACCTCATCGCACATCGATCACCGACTTTTCCCCTGACTCTATCTCCTCCAATGAATCCTGGGGATATAATCGCAATAAACCCGCTCACCCTCGAATTTTCCTCGTCAACCCCAGCCAAGTCGCCTTACAGATACACCATATTCCATGCAGATCAACACTGGCAATGAATCTACCAACCAAAAGTGGGCGCAGGTTCTAATATAAATCAGTCACAGGCCCATTTCATTCGCCCAGCACAGATGAGCTTATTTTCTCGGATCACTTGTCATCCTCCCTTGGGGCAAGTAACGTGCCACCAGAGAGACCAGCGAGTTCTAAGTTCCGGGAAAGATGATACAGTATACACCAATAATACCATATGATAGTCCTAGCCTCTAATATTGTAATAGGCTCGATTTACTGTGGTGATAGAATCAAGCCATTCACTCCCCGAGCAGCCATGGGAAGCTCAGATTTGGCACAACATCACGAGCCCTGAATGGAGTGCTGTCCCTCTTCAGCAAAGCTCGGGGGTGCCTCTGGTGAACAAAACCGAATCAGAGTATAAATTTCATCGCCATGTGTTTTCTGGAGACATTCTGCTGCCATCACATGGAGGCTGCGCCCAATTTACTGTCCGGTACAGGGTCAGTCAAGACCATGATTGGCAATGGGTGAATCAACAGCAGAACACCAAGGACGGAGAACTAGTGTTTGCTGCAAAAGAACCTGAGCAAGAAAACGTCAAATTGGCACAGCTTTCTCTAGCATCAGCAGAGGAGGGGTTCAGCAAGTATTTCGATGGCCTCGGGCCTGATCTCAAAGTTGAATCCCGCAGAAGTGAAGCGCCTGGCTCAACCTTGTGGCACATCTCTGGAAAGGTCGGTCCAGCTCAGGATGGTCGGTCTGGACTCACTAATGTCACACTTGGAGTACCTTCTCGGACAATCTTTTACTTTGCGTTAGTCAGGGTATGGACTCCTTGGCTTGGACCAAGACACGGACGAGGAAAGTTTAGAATAACAGAAGACGCCATTCTATGCTCGTTCCTGCGAGAGGATGGGGAGCATGTGGTGCTTCTAGCTGTTTCCGGCATAAATAACGTTTTGACCGTCTTTGGGTCCGGTGATAACGGTGAAGTAGTGATAAAGTCGCAGAATGACAACAATACTGCATCGGGTCTTCAAATATTGGTATCTACAGCAGCCGACTTTGAGGTAGCAACAAGTGCAGTGATTTACGAGGCGCGGAAGCTGGTTCGGCCTTATGATGCAGAGACTACTGATCGGATTCCAACCCCGGTCTCTCCTCCTGGGGACGATGTCGTACTAGTCGAAAAGGATCCCGAGGCACAATGGTTATCCGAGTGGTACGATGGTCTGACGTACTGTACATGGAATGGCTTAGGGCAGGATTTAACGGAAGAAAAGATTTTCAATGCTCTTGATACACTGAGATCCCATGGAATCAACATCTCTAACCTTATCATTGATGATAACTGGCAAGCGTTGGACAATGAAGGTGATTCCCAATTCAAGCGGAGATGGAAACAGTTCGAAGCCAATCTAGATGCGTTTCCACGAGGGTTGAAGAAGGCTGTGGAGGCCATCCGCCGAAAACATCCGAACATCCAACACATTGGCGTGTGGCATGCCTTGCTCGGATATTGGGGTGGTATCTCACCCGACGGGGACATAGCCAATAAATTCAAAACGAAAGAAGTGCAGATTAAAGATCCAGCAGCGGGAGGTCCAATTGCCAAGGCATTTGAAAAGCAGTCACTACTTGCCATCCACCCAGATGATGTTCAGCGGTTCTATGACGAGTTCTACAGTTATCTTGCCTCTACTGGTGTCGATGCCGTGAAAACCGATGCGCAATTCTTCCTTGACCTGTTGAAAGACCCAGGGGATCGGCGGAGTTTCACTCGGGCCTACCAGGACGCTTGGTCCATTTCCTCTCTGAGATATTTCGGGACAAAGGCCATCTCGTGCATGTCGATGTTTCCTCAGGCTATTTTCAATTCACAGCTACCCACTAACAAGCCAACTATTCCACTACGGAATTCTGATGACTTCTTCCCAGAGGTGCCAGCGTCTCATACATGGCACGTCTTCTGCAATGCCCATAACGCACTCCTCACCCGCTACTTGAACGTCTTGCCTGACTGGGATATGTTTCAAACGAGTCATCCATATGCCTCTTTCCACGCAGCTGCACGATGCGTTTCCGGCGGCCCAATCTATATCACCGACGAGCCAGGAAATCATAACATCTCCGTCATCAACGAGATAACAGCCCCAACCACTCAGGGTACTACGGTTATCCTTCGGCCTAGTCTAGTAGGCCGCACTATTGATATGTACCACGACTACAGCGCCGGCCACGTCTTGCGGGTGGGCACCTATACCGGCTGGGCCCGAACCGGAAGTGGGATTCTGGGTCTCTTCAACGTTTCTGATCATCGCAGAACTACTTTGGTGTCTCTCCAAGAATTCCCGGGTATCCATGATGACTATGATGCGAAATACATCGTCCGATCTCACACAAGCGGCATCATAACAGATCTCATGAGGCCATTCGATAGAAACGCGCTTGTAGGCGCTGTGTTAGAAGATAAAGGCTGGGAGATCTTGACCGCATACCCCACCCAGGCCTTTAACTTGAAATGCAAAAAGCCCAGTGACACGAGCGAACGGAATCCTACGCACGCTGCCGTCTTGGGACTGCTCGGAAAAATGACCGGTGCAGCTGCCATAGTGAGCTCCGATATCTATGTGGAGGCGAACGGGCGTCTCCGCTTCGATATTAGTCTGAAAGCACTTGGTACACTAGGGGTTTATATATCTGACCTGCCTGACTGGAGCATTGAGGAAGACTTGATGGTCACAATCCTTGGTTATCCTGTACCACGGAAGACTGTTTGGAAGGAAGGGAATGATAAAAAGACCCAAATACTGGCTGTGGATATTCTGACGGCGTGGAGGGAGATGAAGTTGAAACCGGGATGGAGCAATGAGGTTATTGTGCAGGTATTCTTGGGCTGATTGCATAGACGGACACGATATAGCAGGCGAACGTGTCCATGATCTATTCCACCATATTGGTACTAGACTAAACTATCAATATCGCAAGCGAAGAAACACATTTGTCTTCCAAATGCTCGTATCTGATATGTAACAATTCTCCTATCTAAATCAATTAAGACCAACGAGCAGAATACTTTATTGCTCATTCCAGAACAGCCCTCCACCCCCGTCTAGGCACAAAACCTTTCACACCCTCATCCTCCAAAACATCCCTCCCCAACCTCCCCGTAACAACACTCCTCTCAACCCCAGGTCCCCGAACATAAAACGGCTCAAAACCTAACAGCCTCTCCGTCGCAGGATCCCATTTCCTCACCCACCTCTTCCCAGACCCAACCTCAGCCACGAACCCCGAATTCACCCGGTCAAGGGTAACAAACCATCTCCGTTGATGAACTGAGCCAATAGAGTTAACAGCCCCAGGATATGCATTATTAGTCCGAATCTGCTCGTCTATGTCATCCTCATCCGAGTGTTCTCCACCGGGTGTCTCAGACGCAGATAGAGTTTGATTCGAAACGCCAGGAGCCGGCGTCCCTGTTGGATCACTCTTAGGAGGTGGCGAGGATCCAGAGGACGAGGTACTAGGCCCTCGTTTCAGGTTTGGTACCGTTCTACGACGTCGTTTTCGGGATGTGGTGGGGTTCTTCTGAAGTCTCTATTTTTGTCTAGTCGGAGGATGATGGTGTAGTCTTGGGGGAGTTTTGTTCCGTGGAGACGGAGGCGGATCTTGCGCTGATTCTGTTAGTCATTCGGGACCGGAGAATTAACTATTCCTCTTAGAACAGGGAGTATCAGGGAGCATACGTTGTGAAACGCTTGGCGGAGTTTCTCATTCTCGGTTTTTGAGTCTACGGTTGAGATGGATGCATCTGATGAGATGGCGGAACGGGAGTCGTCTGTTTCAGGTAGCGTTTGTTCGGGTCGGTAGGGGAGGATTTCGTATTCCCCTGTGTCCCAGATGATCATACTTCCTGTTCGGGGGGATGCGGTTTCGATGAGGTGGTTCTGTGGGTGTTCTTAGCCTCTACAGCGTACTAAGATGAGTAGATATAGAGATGTGGGGAGGTAGAGAATACAAACCCATAAACAATGCACCCTCGTCTCCGTCGCGTTCCGGTTCATGCGGCGGCTGTTAGGGTTACCCGGCAATCCATACATGATGGACCAGCTCACAGAACTGGAGTCCGAGAACTGCAGCCGGAGATCATAATGCGGTCCGGCAATGGGGTGGTCATGTTGATGGATAACGAAGTGTCTTCCTTCTGGATACTGGTTGCGCTGGTACAGAGATACCCAGTCTGGGATGTGCAACCGAGGTGATTGTAGTACTGTAGGACGGGCAGATTGACGGAGTCGTGAAGAGAAGATGGATAGGTGGTCTGTGACTTGCACCTGGCCGGCTTCGATTGCGGCTAGGTTGTGGTGCTCTTTATTGGTGGATGCTTCTGCTTCTTTCGCTGAGGTGTTTAAGTTTGATGAGGCATTTCTCGAATGTGTAGCCTTTGCTGTGGACCTCTTCCTGGGAGGAGATACTGGCGCATCAAGGGTGGAGAGTTTGGGGACCTCTATGGCAGGCTGTGTGATTCGAGGAGAAGTTTGTTGTGAATCACGATAGCGCTTCATGTTTTAGCAATGCCATGTGCTTTGAAGGGCTTGAGGAAGTCTTGGGGCTTTAACCCTTATACTAGATGGATTGTTGTATCTTGTTACGAGACTGTGAGATGATGTTATAGTCCGGCTTAGTCATAGAGTATACTGATCCCTTTTCGATGCACAATCTGGGCTGGGCGACACGGCAATTACGAGGATATACTATTGTGTACATAGATTGCAGTTAGATTTTGAGAATATAGTAGTAGTTACGGGCTGTTCACGACGAAGGTCAACTGTCTCTGAATAATTTCTACTAGTAGACAACCATGTACATCATGGCCGCTCTACCGAGATAATACTACAACCGATCTCAAATCTATTTGATCAGTGTTCTAGCGCTGTATACTAAAATTCTGCCCCTAAAGTAGTGGGGCCTTGAAACCCTGAACGAACTTCAGATCGCTATTCACTCCCGTTTCCTGCATGCTTCGTGGTCAATGTCGGATCTCTCGCTTTCTAGATTTCCATGACAGACATCTCTCTCCAGACAAGGTTTGTTTACTCCTCCTTTTCCACACATACTCTACCCTGTTCATTTTATTTTATGTTATCGTATGCTTAATATTTAACTTTTTCCTCCGCCGACCTGTCGAAATAATCTAGCCCGCGACACTCCTTATACTGTGTTGTCCCTTGCCATTTGGAAAGCCACAGTGGGTACGGACCCACGAACCCTAAGTCATGATAGGAAACCGCTGATCCACGACCTTGTTTTCGTCCAACACTAGCACGTTTGATAATCCTTTGGCTGAACTTATTTACAAATAGTCTACCGAGACCCTTGTTATCACCCATGAACCCGAGGAGCAGGAGGGATTTATTAGTCAATCGTGGGTTCAGCTCCACCGCTGTCCGCGGATGAGCTCGTACACAATGCCGTCAGTTGCTGATCATATCGCAAAATAGATCCTTCGTGAACAGATCAAGATGCTTGGCACGGTCACTTGCATCGGTCGATTCCACACGGGAGACGAAGCGTGGTTTGCGGCCCACCGAGGTGCCTACTGCGATGTTCTGGCAGGGCTGCTCGTGTTGGGCCCCTTTCAGCTAGACCCTTGTGTTTGGGCTTGGTTCGCAAAGGCTATTCAGCTGATGGACGGAGGAGGGCTGTATATAAACTAGTCCTTCCCAGCTCTTGTTTTGTAGAACCAGGATCTTCCTCCCGCTCAGATCTCACCATGCGTTTCCCATCCTCCCTCGGCCTCTCCGTGGCCCTCGTGGCCTCCCTCTACAGCAACATCGCTGCAGGAGACACCTACGATGGCGGCTGCAAGGGCGACAATCCAGTCAAACTGCGCATCGGCAACGGAGGCGCCGGCCAAAGTGGTCTCGTAAAAGGTACGTAACAATCAGTACCTGCATAACCCCCTAACCCTAACGCCGCTAACCCGCCCCCCCCAGAACTAGCCACGCACTTCATCAAAAACCAAACCAACAGCTGCCAAGACGCCAGCAAAGCCTTCAGCGTCGAATGGGTAAAGGGCGACACGACAGAGACCATCAACAACCTGAAAACCAAGAAGGTCGACGTAGGGATCACATACCACAAGACGGCAGAGCAGATCGCGATCCACAACGGGTTCGCCTCGGGCTGCAAATACAAGGACGAGAACAGCACGACGCCATGCTTTGGCGACGACTGCGCGGACCACGAGGAGCGGCCGTGCTACGCCTTCCGCGATCACTTCTACCTGGCCGGGCCCAAGAACAACACCGCCGATATCCAGGACGAGGACGATATCAAGGAGACGTTCTCGAAGCTGTACAATGCGGCGGAGAACGGCACCGCGCGCTTCCTGAGTCGGTTTGATAAGTCGGCGACGAATATTAAGGATTCGGAGTTGTGGATTGCTATTGGGCAGG